GTTGTGCTGCACCCAGACAGCATGGACCTAACTTCATTTATAACTCACGATGGCCTCTTTAGATTCAAGAGGGTCTGCTTCGGGTTGGCATCGGCACCAGCTGCGTTTCAGCAGATCATGACGAAAATTCTTGGAGGTTGCAAAGGGGTCTTATGCTACTTGGATGACAATCATTTTTGGCAAGACGGAGAGCGAACACAGGTAAAACCTGGAGCAAGTGCTGGAACGAATAGCAGAAGCTGGGCTCAAGCTCAACGAAAAATGCGTCTTCAACACGTCGGAGCTGTCGTTCTTAGGACATCGCGTCAGCGCAGAGGGTATAGCACCGCTCCAGACCAAGATTGCTCCTGCGCCTAGAGATGCAGCCACGCTATGCTCCTTTTGGGGCTAGTTGAATACTATTCCAAATTCGTGCCGCGACTGGCAGAGCAAGTAGAGCCAATGCGTCGTCTACTTCGCAAAGACGTGCACTTCGACTGGGATGACGCTGCGAAAGAGAGCTTCGCGGGAGTAAAAAGACTTCTAGCATCCCACAAGGTCCTCTGAATGTTTGACCCGACGCTACCTGTCATTGTCGCAACAGATGCCTCTGCGTACGGTCTCGGTGCCGTACTGCAGCAAATGGAGGGGTCCCATGTGCGTACTGTGGCATTTGCATCGCGGACATGAACAGAGACAGAACGAAAATACTCGGCCGGAGAGCGTGAGGCCCTTGCCTGTCTGTGGGCCTGCGAGAAGTGGCACGTTCACCTCTGGGGCAGATCATTTACTCTACTGACGGATCACCAGGCTTTGGTGGCACTGCTCTCATCCCGTAGCACAGGACAGCGGCCACTTCGTATTGCAAGGTGGACCGCACGACTGCTGCGCTACAACTTCAAAATACAGTACCGCAGCGGAGCCCACAACCAGGTAGCAGATGCCTTGTCCAGACTGCCCGTGCCAGACACAGAAGGGGGCTTCCATGTTGATGAAGAGGTTGTGTCCTTGGTTACATCGTCTGTACATCGGGAGAATCTTCAGGTTGCTACCGCGGAGGATGACATACTACGGCAGGTAATGCAATTTATCCAGTCATCATGGCCAACAAGGAAAAGACTTGCAGCAGAACTGACTCCGTACTATGAAATACGAGACGAGCTCTCGGTAGTAGATGGGTTGCTTTTGCGCACAGAACGCGTTGTAGTGCCTGCCAAGCTAAGGGATACATTCATCCAGTTAGCTCATGAGTCACACCCGGGAATTGTGAAGACTAAGCAGCGCATCAGAGAGAAGTACTGGTGGCCTTGCCTTGACAAGCATGTGGAGGCCGCCGTCCGGAGTTGCAGCACCTGTCAAGCCTCGGACAAGAGTTTCAAGAACTGGCAAGCCCCACTACAGCCTGTCCCGCTTCCCAACAGGCCTTGGGATAAAATATCAATAGACATCATGGGCCCCTTTGAACTTGCACCGGCCGACTGTCGATTTGTCATCGTGGTAGTGGACTACTTCTCCAGATGGCCAGAGATTGCGTTCTGCAGTGACATCACTTCTCGCACGGTGATCAACTTTCTGCTTGCTGTCTTTGCATGAGAGGGTTACCCGACTGAACTAGTCTCAGATCACGGCCGACAGTTTACGTCGAGTGAATTCGAGTGCTTCCTTGCAGACAGGGGCATCAAGCATTTCTTCTCGGCAGTTTACCACCCTCAAGCCAATGGCTTAGTGGAAAGATTCAACAGGGTCTTGAAATCGTATATACAACTAGCTCTTCTAGAGCAGCGACCAATCAAGACCACAGTTATAGAGTACCTGAGTATTTATCGAGCCACACACCACAGCGCCACTGGCATCTCTCCAGCAGTGTTGCTTCATGGCCACCACATGAGGACATCATTAGATGTTGTTGGCCAGCCATCAGCGGATTTCGGCTCCCATCCCGCACGTGAATTGCCTAGACTTCGGCGTCGTGTCTGCGAATACCAACAAAGAAATAAGGCGTATGCAGACAAGCGAAGAGCAGCCCGGGAGCCCAAATTTAAAGTGGGGGCCTACGTGCGGGTGAAACGCCTGGTACCTGGAATAAAAGGCACCCCTAGTTTTGGGGCTCCACTCAAAATACTGAGGCGGGTAGGACGATGGTCATTCCACTTGGAGGACGGCCGTACCTGGAATGCCTTCCAACTGTCGGCTGTACCCCATGAAGCTGTTCACGAAGAAACGGGGGCAAGACAAGAACCGCTGTGGGCGGACATGGAGACAGACGGGTCGGCAGGAAACGCCACAGCACGAAAACCGTCCTCAAAGGCAAAGAGCCACACGACCCAAAATATCCCAATACAGGAAGCTGCACAGTCTCGGGGGGGGGGGGGGGGGGGGGGGTCAGCACTGCTTCCTCATACGCCAAGCCCACTACGGCCTCCACCAATGGGGAACACGACCGCAGGACTGGGTGCTGATCGTGCCGCCGAACCAGAGGTCGTCCATCAGCCAGAAGAGCAGCCGGTGCCCCTCCGTCGCTCTACACGGGAGCGAAGACCACCAGGGAGACTCGGGGACTATGTGCAGTGACTTGTTTACAGTGGAGACTTACTATAGTTTTCTGTCACGGGTAGTGACTGTTTCTTTTCTATGCACATAATCTGTGTTATATTATCAAGGGAGGGGGTAGATGTAGTGTTGTGTGTTTACACCAGATGGCCTTCTGAGTCATTGGACTCACAATAGATGGAGCCACTGCGCGTGTGTATATAAACGATACTCGCTGATTAAACTGGGTTATTGTCATGGATCGTACTGTGGTGTAGCGTGGTTACTTTCACGTGTCGCTGTGCCGGCTACACGACAACAATTATCCTGAAAAAAAAAACTCTCTTTTTCAATACCCAGTGCCAGTGTGCATTACAAAAGATTTAATGCAGTACGTGAGTCTTGAAAATCTTTTAAAATGCTTTATCGATTGAGATGAAGCTTCCACAGTTTATGTATATTTGTGTGCACATCTGCATTAGTTTTTTACAACCTTGTGTAGCTTCTAAAATATAATTCATTCTATATGCTTTTTCTGACGAGAAACGTTTGCCTAAACTGAGAGTTACAAAGTAAATCAGTATATCGCGATAATCCAGAATCAAAACTTTGTGCAGTGCAACAAAAAATGCCAGGCCTGCGTAGAACACGCAGCACAGTCACAGAGAAAGCTAGAATAGAGGCTTTTCAGAGCAATTTCTAAACACTTGTTGGGTAACTGCTACAAGCAAACTTGCAGGGTACCCACTACACCATAAGTAATTACAATTTTTGTGTAGTAGGCCAGCATTCACTATGCTGTCCTTCGTGATTCTTCGGAGAAGCATAGCATTCGCTACACACTTGCTAGGAATTTTGTGCATTTTTTTATGCAGTGGCTAAGGACGATGATGAAATATGCCTGAAGTGGGTATGCGCTGCAGTTAATAGGTGATCAAGAACAAGTTTTCTAATAGGTTGGAGCATTTGACGACCCACTTGTTGCGCAATTCCCATTGTGTGATGCCTCATTGTTTCTTTGATGTTATAAAACGCCTTATTACTCATATTAACACGCTTCCTCTCCCAACATCAAGCCTGCCTAAGGCCAGCTTAGAAACTAGTTCCAAGCACCGGCGTGGCTCAGTGGTAGAATACTTGGCTGACACACAGCAGACTTGGGTTCGAATCCCATTGTCATTTTTTTTTTATTTACAGAGTTTTTAGGGGCAAAGGTCCCTAAGGTGTGGGTCTGTACATCCTCCGATGTTGTTGCTGTTGTTGTTGTTGTTGTTGTTGTTGTTGTTGTTGTTGTTGTTGTTGGCGGCGGCGGCGGCGGCGGCGGCGGCGGTGGTGGTGGTGGTGGTGGTGGTGGTGGTGGTGGTGGTGGTGGTGGTGGTGGTGGTGGTGGTAGGCAGCCACCGGTAGCACACACCCGCTCTAGAGCGGGTTTGTGCCACAGGAGATGGGAGATGGCGGTACTTGGAGTGTTCACTAGATGGACGCACGGACGGACAGACAGACTAGCAGACGGACAAACGCATGGATGGATGCACGAATGTTCGCGCACATGGACGCTTCGCTCCACTTATCATCATTCACTCCGTGGACTCGCTGTGATTTTTTTCTTTATTTCTTGCCATACTGGTTATAGACATCGACGGCGGAGGTGGTGGTGGACAACTACGGCGCCGCGCGTGCCCCGTGTTCTGATCTCATAACAGCTTTCGCTGTAAAATAAACGTTCTAAACCGGTTTGAACAAAAGTGATGGTATATCAAACATTCCCGAGCGAAATACCAGCTCGACATTGACTCATTCACAAATGTTCAACATGCCATATGTATTGTTCAAACATGTTCAGAACAGCAATTCTCGTTGTACTGCACACAGGTCCGTCTACAGATTATAGTGATACGCTGATTTGCTCTGTAGTTCTCTAGGTTTAGAAAAACTCTAGGTCCCCAGAAGTGACATAAAATATTCTGTAGTTTTAGAAGTACACAATATATTATAACAATCATTGCTTATATGGAATCAGCACACTAACTAAGCCAGTTTCACCAGTATAGATAAAAAAAAAGAAACTTACGAGCAGCACACACATTCACTGATATTTTTGGCAAAGAGTAGCATGAGTTAAAATGTGGAATATGGGGGATATGAGGCAGCTCCCAGAAAATAAGATTATAAAGAACACCATGAATAATTCTGCAGCTGAAATGATTTAAATTAACAATAATATCTGGAGCTTTATGACCAGAAACTATGATGTGATCCCGAGGGAAGGTGTAGTGATCGGCTTCGGAAGTTTCGACCATCTGGTGTTCTTTGATATGCACTGGCGTTGCCCAGCACACAAGCCTCTAACATTTTGCCTCCATTGAAATGCAACCACCGCAGGAGGAGTCGAACCCGCCAACCTTTGGGTCAGCAGCCAAGCAGCGCAAACGCTATATCAGCACGGCAGATTACAGCTGAAATGGAAGTGAGGCATGTGGATAGAAACGTACCTTTCAGGTCCCTTCTGCGGGGTGCATGTCCCGAGCGCTCCATCTTCTCTTGATACCGCCTCTCCCTCTGGGCCCGTATTTCGGCTGGGTTTTCAACGAACTGGTCCCGTGGTGGAGCCTCCTCTTTATCCTGAATGCAAGTTTGAGAGGACTTTACAGGGGCACACTGAAATGAACCTGAGTAGTCATTATGGAAAGGTTTACATCACAGACCGCATTGCGAGCTGCAATTCTCAATACCCTAGTGAATTCTGCCCTGCACGTGAACACTGTAAAGCCTGTTTCACATGCGAGCGACTGAGCGGCGGCGGTCGCGGCGATGAGCGGCAGGAGGACGCGCAGACGCGCATTCGTTTCACATGGGCTGCTGCTACCGCTGCTGTTGCGCGTTGCCCGCCGCTCTGGCGGGCAGTGTTGTCTACGGAAGGCACCGGTTAACTGCTCTTTTCAGTGGTATCTAAAACCCGCGCTCTCCTCCAAGTATCCTTCCTTTGGCACCCCTTTGCTGCGAGGTTCATCCTCAGTAGCCGCTAGACTTTCACGCGTCTAAACACTGATTGAACTATGTGTAACGTGAATCATATCACGAATAAACAGCGTTTGCAGTTGCGTTTTGTTTGGTCCTTTCTTATTAACGTATGGTTCTTGTTGCACCCTCATATAACTGACCACGAAGAAGTAAAAGAAATAGTTTTCTGGCATAGTTTTATTAGACAGTTGTTCCAGGTAAGTGAATGCATAAGACCTGCGAGCGTGTTCTGCGCAGCAATTCCCATGTTTCTCCAATTCATTACTTTTGCTTTACGATTTAACTTTGGGACGCCGAACGAGGTTTTGGCCAGCCCAGTATACACACCTCGCGAAATTCATACCTAAATTTTTGTAACTGTTAGCTTGAGTCAAATAAAACTTGAAACAAAAACTCTCAGTGGTAAGCTTCGGCCGTGTTTGTGGTCACCCTGTGGCATATGCGAACACGCTGTCCTGCCGCAGGAGTCTAGTGGCTAAGGTACTCGGCTGCTGACCCGCATATTGCAGGATCGAATCCCGGCTGCGACAGCTGCATTTCCGATGGAGGCAGAAATGTTGTAGGCACGTGTGCTCTGATTTGGGTGCTCATTAAAGAATCCCAGGTGGTCGAAATTTTCTGAGCCCTCCACTATGGTGTCTATCATAATCATATGGTTATTTTGGGATGTTAAATCCCACATATCAATCATCATGCGAACACACCCTTCATCAAGATTTTCCGAATGGTCTAGATCTCTTCTGGCGCTCGAAGTTAGTATGCTTCCACCCTAAATAGTAAGCCTCTCAGGTTTTTCTATGATTCAGTAAAGCACACCAGGAAGGGTTTCACCAGCGGCAGGCAGTATAGTATACGTGATCCGCTCACTGTCCCAGTTCTTTGGCTGCTGTATATATACTTGTGCACAACTAAGGTCAGGGACTACACAGCAATTCTTGCTTTAGCAGGAATTTTCGTCCATAAATACTGCGGCGGTGTTTTTCATTATCTACGCTGTGTATGTTGGGCTCGCGACTGAACATCTATTTTCGCCCAGCCAGCTACGCATTCTGGCACTCAGTGTCACAAAGAGTAGCTGGCCAGTGTGGCACAATCTGTCAACAGCCTGCAAACTTGAGGGCTGTGCGGTGCAATTGTTCCTCGTGCGAAAAGCGTTGCAGAGGACGCAGATCAGTGAGCCTGGGTTTCAGTGAGAAATTAAGGTGTTGTTGAAGGGGAGAATAGAAATAAAGGCCCCTGGTGAATGCCTTACTTCCCGAACCGTGACAGCAAGCTTCACGCTCCTTCCTTGTTGAGTCACATAACGAAATTTCTTTTCGGCGATCTGTGTGGAATCCTACTTCTCAAGTCGACTGCCATAGCACCTGTCCTTGCTCTCTCATTCGCGTAATTCCTTTCATCTATGCACCGTGTCCCCAAATTTCATTGTTTGTTAAACCAGCAACATTTGCTGCGACATAGATGTATGGCATTCCATGCGGCTCCACTACGTGAGAGTCACATTCGATGAAAATGCAAAAAAAAAAACGATAGTAGTAATAATATTATTGAAACAAAAAAGGCACCGCACAGGATTGTCACTCCGGTGGAGCATCGTCCAGAGCAACGAAAGGAAAGCAGCGCCACTTCAACTTCATCAGTGAACATGGCCAGTTCAAGCGACGATTTTTACTTTACGGAAGTATGCAACTTCTTAAAGAGCTCGGCGATTTCTTCCCAAAGAATGCTCTTCTTATGCTCCTTACCGAAATCCTCCATCTTGATGTTTCAAAGAAGAGGCCGTTTTACAACTTCTGGAATGAGCAACTCGTTGAACGCAGCGCGAGACATTTGTGAGCCGGGGAGAGGACGGATGTCGTCTGCTACTCAGTTGGAGCGAGTTCTGTGGAGCCAGGTCCCCGCAGCGCCCGCATCCACTTTTCAACTCTGCCCCTGGCATCATGTGTGAAACGATGTCACTGGTCGCTCTGCCGCTTCTGTCGCGAGCAAAGTTTTCCAACTCTGGCGAATTTCACTACAGCGACTGCCGCTCCGCTCTTGGAGCATAATCGCTCGCATGTGAAACAGGCTTAATGCACCCATTCACCGTTGCAACTCCCACTGACATTGTTTTGTTTCACTTGTCTACCGTAATTATTGTGTGTATAAAGGGTTCCTTTGTAAAGTAATCAGACAGGGGCTAATGAAAGAATATTTTGAAACTATCTGTACATTTTATTTAGATTCTTCAAAATAGCTTCCTATTTTGGGGGTCGTTGATACGTAGATCACTACACAAATCTCACACTGCCAGGACTCATTGAAAGTCAGCTGCAATCGCTCCTTTTTGAGACTGAGCAAGAGTCCGATAGATAGCGGGAGCAATGTCGAAACTGTGATTATGCAGGGTTCTCTTGAGCTTTGTGAATAGGCAAGAAGCCTTCCGTGCTCACATCAGGGCTGCATCAGGAGCACCGCAGACTCCTCCTTGTCACCAAAGTTTAAGAGATGTTAGAAAGGTCTGGAATACTATAGCATTAATGAAAGGCTGGTAGGTATCGTAATTAAACTGAATAAAAGATACAAAATGAAGTTAGTACAGGCTTACGCGCCTACATCCAGCCATGATGACGCTTCAGTTGAAAGCTTCTATGAAGACGTGGAATCGGCAATGAGTAAGGTAAAAACACAGTATACTATAGTGACGGGCGACTTTAATGCAAAGATAGGAAAGAAGCAGGCTGGAAACCAGACAGTAGGAGATTACGGCATCGGTACTAGAAACGCCAGAGGAGAGCTACTAGTAGAATTAGCAGAACGCAATAATTTACAGATTTTGAATACCTTCTACTGAAAACGAGAAAACCGCAAGTGGACATGGAGGAGCCCTAATGGCGAAAATAAGAATGAAATAGACTTTATAATGACTGCACACCCAGGAATCGTGCAGGATGTGGAAGTGGTTGGCAAGGTACGATGCAGTGACCATAGAATGGTACGGTCTCGAATTTGCCTAGACTTGAAGAAGGAACGACAGAAACTGATATGCAAGAAGCCAATCAATGAGCTAGCACTGAGAGGGAAAGTACAGGAATTCAGAGTGTCGCTGCAGAACAGGTACTCGGCTCTTAGTGAGGAAACCAACCTTAGCGTAGATACAATGAATGATAATCTGACGAGTATCATTAAGGAGTGTGCAGTGGAAGTTGGAGGCAGGGTAGTTAGACAGGACACTAGCAAGCTTTCCCAGGAAACGAAGAACCTAATTAAGAAGCGTCAAATCATGAAAGTGTCAAGTACAACAGACAAAATAGAAGTGGCAGAGCTTTCGAAGTTGAATAATAGACGTAAGGTATGCGATGTATGAAGGTATAACATGGAGAGAATTGAACACGTTCTGAAAAAAGCGTCAAAGCAGTGAAGAGGAACCTTGGGATAGGCAAAAGTCGGATGTATGCACTAAGGGACAAAGAGGGCAAAATAACTACCAATATGGATAGGATAGTTAAAATAGCGGAGGAGTTTTACAGAGATCTGTACAGTAGCCGAGACAACCTTGACCTATAAGAACTATAAGAACTACTATAAGAACTAGCAGTAACCCAGATGACACCCCACCAGTAATGATAGAAGAAGTCAGAAAAGCTTTGGAGAGCATGCAAAGAGGCAAAGCTGCTGGTGAGGATCAGGTAACATCAGATCTGCTGAAAGATGGAAGACAGATTGTGTTAGAAAAACTAGCCACCCTGTTTACGAGGTGTCTCCTGACGGGAAGAGTACCAGAGTCTTGGAAGAACGCTAACATCATCTTAATACATAAGAAAGGAGATGACAAGGACTTGAAGAATCACAGGCCAACCAGCTTGCTCTCCGTAGTATACAAGCTATTTACAAAGATAATTGCTAACAGAGTTAATAAAACATTAGAATTCTATCAACCAAAGGAACAAGCAGGATTTCGAACAGGCTACTCAACAATTGACCACATTCATACTATCAATCAGGTAATGGAGAAATGCTCAGAGTATAACCAACCACTATACATAACCTTCATAGATTACGAGAAGGCATTTGATTCAGTAGAAATATCAGCCGTCATGCAGACACTGCGGAATCAGGGCGTAGATGAAGTATATATAAACATTCTGGAAGAAATCTACAGGGGATCAACTGCTACCATAGTGCTTCATAAAGAAAGCAACAGAATACCAATCAAGAAGGGTGTAAGGCAGGGGAACACAATCTCCACAATGCTATTTACCGCGTGCTTACAGGAGGTTTTCAGAAGCCTAGAATGGGAACAGTTAGGGATAAGAGTTAATGAAGAATACCTTAGTAACCTGCGCTTCGTCGATGACATTGTATTGCTGAGTAACTCAGGGGACGAACTGCAACTCATGATTACGGAGTTAGACAAGGAGAGCAGAAAGGTAAGTTTTAAAATTAATTTGCAGAAAACAAAAGTAATGTACAACAACCTCGGAAAGGAGCAGCACTTGGAGATAGGTAATAGGGCGCTTGAAGTTGTAAAAGACTATGTCTACTTAGGGCAGGTAATAACCGCAGAGCCGAACCACGAGATTGAAGCAACTAGAAGAATAAGAATGAGGTGAAGCACGTTCGGCAAGCACTCTCAAATTATGACAGGTAGATTGCCACTATCCCTCAAGAGGAAAGTATATAACAGCTGTATCTTGCCGGTACTTAGCTACGGAGCAGAAACCTGGAGACTTACAAAGAGGGTTCAGCTTAAATTGAGGACGACGCAGCGAGCAATGAAAAGAAAAATGGTAGGTGTAACCTTAAGCGACAAGAAGAGAGCAGAGTGGATTAGGGGACAAACGGGAGTTAAAGATATCATAGTTGAAATAAAGAAGAGGAAATGGACATGATCCGGGCATGTAGCACGTAGACAGGATAACCCCTGGTCATTAAGGGTAACTAACTGGATTCCCAGAGAAGGGAAGCGAGTTAGGGGGAGACAAAAGGTTAGGTGGGCAGATGAGATTAAATAGTTTGCGGGTATAAATTGGCAGCAGCAAGCACAGGACCGGGTTAACTGGCGGAACACGGGAGAAGCCTTTGTCCTGCAGTGGACGTAGTCAGGCTGATGCTGATGAGAAAGGTCTACGTTTCAGAGCTGGAAGCTAGCTTTTGTCCTTGTCCTGAGTTCGCGCTATAACAGTCGTCTACGTTTAACTGGTGTTCCCACCATACAATGGGCTGTCACAGTCTCGTAAAGGAGCCATGGCAGCTGATTTTAAGGGAGCCCACGCAGTGTGCGAATTGTGAGGTAATCAATGTATCAATGCCCGAGACGAATATATTGAAGTATTCAAATAACATGCACTGATCGGAGCGATATATATTCTTTTTACCAGACCCGGTTGCAATACTTTACAGACAGACTCTATATACTTTAACTTATTTTATGCCTCAATTAATGAAAAAAAACAATTTTTTAAAGCTGGAAATTCTTCAATGCATCCAACATGCGACAAGAAACACACTGCCATGCGCAGTTCACTTTTGCATCGGCTAATGCAAAAGCTGGTCACTGAAGCATTCATAATCGTTACACAAGGTATCGTTATAAGCATGATGTAGCATACTGTAAAATTCCAGACCATCTCTCTAAATACAGTTTTTACAGCACCCTTCCACAATTAAGTGCCACGCATGAGAAATGAAGTCAACAATACACTGCCTTCCGGCGACACTTACGCTATCTGCATCCTTGTCTTCGTATCGATTTTCTTTTTGCCTCCTGCCTGACTTTTGCTCCAGAACTCTGGGAGTAGTGAAAGCCCTTGGGGGGAAAAGAAACAGGAGGATAAATAAGCTACTTTTTGCAAGCACAATGCACAGCCAAACTTTTCATTACAAATCTCAAGAGAATTTAACACTGCATTCAAGGAGATTTTCATCTGTATTATCCATTTGCACTAATTTGTGCCCCCGTTTCAACATCGAGCCAGCTAATTTGTGCCCCAGATCTACATCTACAACCAGCTTGGGTGACCATCTGTTTGCAAATCAGCTGGATTCATCTGAATGGCTCATCGCAAACGTTTACACAAGATCAAATATGTGGGACAAGCCCTACAGCCACAGGCGTCACTTAAATTGGCAAGTGAATGGTCAGAACTATTGAAAATACCTACCAATTTGATTTGTGCACTCACTGATGTGAACAAATTAAGCTCATGCTATGTAGGCAGCTCTGAACTATATTCGCCCAATAATGCCTGAAGTGCCGCTTCCACACACTTAGTACAGCATTCTCAATGTTTGCACCATGCAGTACTACAACAATAAAACAATTAAATTTGAACAAATTTAATTTTATTTCAATTATTTGTTTATAAGGTACAGTCCAATCATTGGAAAGGGAGGTAATTGGGAGGTTCACACCCTTCTCTTCACTAGAAAATTTTCAATTGTGCATGTGTTTATACATGCAAAATTGAAGATTTTTTATGTGTGTGTATATATACGTGCACACATACAAATCAAAGATGAAAATTTTGCAAAGTCTGCCCAATTGGGATAGAAATGAGACAATGAGAAAACTCCCACTGAAAATTGTATTCAGAAACCCGACATTTCGAAGCCATCCCGGCTTCTTCCTCAGGGGTCAGAAAGCCAGAGACGTGTGGCGTGTATATACGCTAGCTCGCCTTACGTGAAAAGCTCGCCACAACCCATTGCTAACCCTGGCAGTGGAGAGAGGGCAATATCTCAGTAGAGCGGATGATGTTCCCCACTGTCTGCTTTGCCACAGGTTGTGGCGAACTTCTCATGCAAGGCGAACAAGCGCATATAAGCGCCGCACATCTCTGGCTCTTTCACCCCTGAGGAAGAAGCCGGTCCAGCTTCGAAACGTCAGGTTTCTGAATACAATTTTCGGTTTGGAGTTTTCTAATAGCCTCACACACATACAAATACATGCAAAAATATACCACATTTACAAGAACGCAGGATGACCCATTTTATCCATAAATATTTAATCACGAGTCGGAACATTCACTGACAATCTAAACCGTTTTGGCTGTAAGATACCCAAATGTTTTGAAAAGGTCGGCTTAATACTGCATCTGAAACAAACGAAAACTCAGGTACACTGTGGCATGGTTACAATAAATATGTTTATGTTTCATCTCTACCACGTACAACCTTGGCTCCGATACATGGAGAGTTTTTTAAAAAAGATACCCACATATTGCTGCAAAGCTAGCTATTCTGTATATTCTTTATGCTGCACATCTGTCAACCCACTTTTGAAAACTGCAATTCGAGTTTTTTTTTTTTTCAGTGACAGCATAAATATGAAATGAGCTTGCAAAACATTTTCTTTTTGTTGCTGTGCGACATTTGGATGTCGACCAACACTCAAGTCAACCTACAATCCTCTGTAAATTTGATACATAAAAGTATGATTGAGACCATCCACTTCCTGACTCCCGAAAAATATTTCTGGCTAGGCTTTTGGGTCCAATACTCCCAAAATTTCAATGGCAGTGGCAATGCTATGGGCCCATTTGATGTGCAGATATTTCACCAAGACTCAAAACTCAATAAAAGCTGGCAAATTTCCTTTTTCATTTAATCACAAAAAATATTAACCTAAATTTTTTTTTGCTTTGGTGCTTCTTATTTTCTGCTAGGCTAATCTCTTGCACATATTTTGTGGCACCCTTCATACAGAAGAATTTCGGTCAGTGGCTGTATGTGGCTACCCGTTGAAGCGGGCACATGTTTTCATTTGTTCTCACACAGCTTTTGCCATATTGTATTACAATGTACCCTTGACATACCACTGCCCCACTATGGATCCAGCGTTCTTGAATTGAAGCCCTCAAAAAAGTGTAATGCCGGAAATGGCGAAGAGGCATTACCTGCGGGTGGACAGCTCGTCTTCGGGTTCTGGCTCTGCGAAACCCACGTTGTTGCTGTCGTAGGTGTCGTCGTATTCGTCCTCGTACACGCCCACGTCGTCCACGAATTCTTGCACTATGCTGTACTTCTCGTACACCTCTTTCAATACTTTGTCGTGGCCTTTGTCGTCCAGTGACTTTGGGGTTTTGCTCCTGCACCAGAGAAAGATGCCCACTCTAAGCATGGCTCCTTCCTGCTCCGCAAGTGGTACCGTGGCTACACAACGCTACCAAGTGAACAGCCATGGAATCAAACTTGGTGTCACTTCTTCAAGCACACAAGGTGCATCTGAAGGAGACCTTACTCACTTTTTTCCTATATGAATCTTGGACATGTCGACATCATTTCTCCTAAAGATGTCAAACTCGTCATTGTCGTAAATGCTTCGAGCCTCAATCTCCAGTGGCCTAAAACAAGAGTAAGGAAATCCCAATTAACCATATTTTTTGGTTTAACCATGATTAACAAAGTACATGACGACAGCTTGTTGGAGGCAAGTTCAAGCGGTCATGCAAACTGAACAAATTTTTTTCAATTTCCCCCGATTGTTTGGAGCTTCAACTGGCGCCTTGTCATGGCAGCTACTTTAAAGTTTTGCTGCAGCTAAACTTGTAATCAATGAACTGTACGTGACAATGAGCTATAAATGACATTGAAGAAACTGCAGTAGACCTTTAGAAGGCGGCTATTGTAGCAGTAGGTGGACAAACAGAGTCTAAACATCCCATGAGGATTCCTACAGTTTGCATTCCTTCAACAGATGATGCAAACAATAAGTGATAAGAGAGCAGTGCTTATAAGATGTGAATTTTTGAGAACAACTAGTACAAAAAAAAGACTCATTTGCCCACTGTGTACACCACCGACTTAGACTTCAGCAGTGAACATATGCCCCAAAACATGCAATGGCTAACTCCAAATTTGATGTACTGTTGATGCTGCAATGATAATTTATACTGCATCCTCACAAAAACAGTCATCCTTTCAAGCATGGCACATATTTTAGGTGAATTAGTAGGGCTGCATAACTGCACACGTAGCCCACTTAAGTAAAACAACAAACGCACTGACACATATCTCAATAGGTCGCATAAAATGTTCATGTGGACAAAAAATAAACGTCCAGCCTCTACAAGTAAGATAAATTCTTATAAGGATACCCCAACACAGCCATTTTCCCAGACATCAATATAAACCCACTTTCAGTAAACATTTTGTTAAACACAATGAATGCACTGAACACTTTCAAACATAGACACCGAAACAGCTGACAAAAATATGAATAGCGAATCGACTCACGCAGATGCAGACGTGGAAGGAGTGGGTATCGTGAGACTAGGAGGCAGGTTATTGTCCAGCAGTGCCATCACCACTTCATCATGGTTGTTGCTGTAGTACTTCAGGCAATCCTTCAAAGTGCAAAAATAACAAGCAAAACAAAACAATTACAGAGCAGGTAAAGAAGAAGCAAACTCCAAGAAGTTCAGGTCATTTTTGGCAAGCTCGCTGGCCAGTGCATGTTCAACTGTACCGTAAATATCAATGTGAATGTCCATTTATACGATTATGAAAAGTTAAGACACTAATCGCCTTAACTTTTCATAATCCTGTTAAATAAACTAAACAAAGCTAGTGAGATCGCACTGGCACCAACAATGGCACCACATGCAAATGAATTTTTTTTTTCTTCTGAAGGCATTGCCGTAACAAGTTATAAGCAGCCAAGCGATACGTGTATTTCTCGAAGCTGCTCACAGTTACCAGCAACATGGCCATCATCTCTGCGAAGTAATGTGAATTAAAATAAAATTTATAGCCCGGGCAAGTTCGTTTATATTTCAAATTATAAATGGTACGAGCAATGTGACAAACAGGAACCCAGTAAGATGAACAAGGATGAGTCAGCTGAAACTGATGCACGTCCTTGTTCGTCTTACTGCGTCCCTGTTTGCCATTTTGCATGGATCATTTTTAATTTGAAAATTCTGCGCACGGGGGCAACGGAAATTCGAAATGCCGCAACAGGACCTTCAGATCTTCGTTTGGCGCGTGATGTCACAAAACAAAACGCGGCGACCATAAACAGGGGTGCCCCGATACAGGTTGTCGCGTTGCTTTCGTACGCTCCAAGACTGCAGCACCTTTGCCTTTGTAGTATGAGAGTGAGACATATCCTAAGGAGATCTTAAAGCCAGAGAACTGGATTACAGAAGAAGACGAACAGTCAAGAGAATGAAATTCCCATTCTATGAAAACACATTGTACATGTCTTTCTTCTCCCTTAATTTATCTAATCACTAATAGAGCAGCATGTTAGTTTTACATAAAAAATGTGTGTATTATTATGTGCAGGTGCACCTTTCTTTAAGCCATGAAAATTGGTTGAATATCAGTTCGAGTAAATATGTGATTTTTCTTCTTTTTCTGTGAGACAATACCGAGAGGCTTTGTGCGAGGTGGGGTCGGCATGAAGATGCGCGATATAACAACGATTTTCATTGAACGACCTGTACAGAGGTCTTGTCAAGACAGGACTGAATTGACGTAAAATATGGGCTGTTGCATTACATGAGACAGAGGCAGAGAAAAGAAAAGCGCGACCATATGATATGGTGCTTCTCAAACCTTTAAGAATGCGTGTGGAAGATCTGGGAAGAGTTCCGTCAGGTTCTGGAATTCCGATGACGGTACTGTTAACGCTTCACCCCCACAAGCTCCCAGCTCTTCTTCTGCCAGACTAGCTCTGCTCGAATCGGCTACTGTCGTTGCTGCTGGTGCTGCTGGTGCTGCTGCCGCATCCCCGCTTATTGTTTGGAATGCAGGAACTTTGGTTGTTTTCCTTGGGTTAGCTACCGCATCCTGTTAATAGCAGCACAGAGGAAAAAAAAAAATGAAATGAGTCCAAAAAATGTCAGCATGAAGACAACCCAACAAAGTTAATAACGAAACTCTCCCGCACGTAAAATGCACAAGCAGCAGAGAAAAAAAAAAGGCCGATTTCAAGCCAGGGCGTGGTGAATAATTTTTGAATTCAAGCTCAAATGAGTAGCAGACAAGATATAGGGAGACTGCAAAAGAAGGCTGTTGCTACTACCATCGGCAACAGGTGTGTGACAAAATTGTTAAGTTTTCTTTTGCTGCTGTACAATTCGTGCACTACATGCAATGTGCCTTAGATTAAAGCACTGTCATTTCATTCGCAGCGAAAGCGGCTACCTCAGAATGAAGGATGTATTGAGTTCTGCTAAAATTTACAGCTGGTTTCAGTGCGTTCCCTGGTGCAATATGTAATAACTCTTCAGGGAAGATTGGTCGCCCTGTGCACTCACAAACTCGTTTATTGCTGCTGGCAAACATGGCGAGAGGTTCTTTTAGCAAACAACTGTGTATTTGTATAAAAAACTTAGAGAAAGAGAAAAGAAATGAAGGATAGGCAGGAAGGTTTCCTGTACTTTGCAAAGTTTGCTGCCCTAGATGAAAAATGCAGGAAGAAAAAAGAAGGAAAAAGGAAACTCCTAAGCCCCTCTCCTCCTGCCATGCAAGTGATGAAACAGTACCTGAGCGTTCAAGAGGTTACTCGGAGGAGCGCTGCCCAGTTCAGTGTAGACAGTGCTGATGCTCTGAAGAACGTAGAGGCTGCGCGTGTTATCTCTGAACACCAAAAAAAAAAGAGTCAAGAAATGGTACAAACACGTCCGAGCCAGCAGCAATACATTACTGACCATAGGCGTGTGCAGGATTGCCGTTCGGGAGGGGGGGGGGGGCGAGGTTTCTTTGCAACACCCCCCCTCTCTAATATGTCAATGTATGGGACAGACTTTGCACTTCTCCACCAATCTCAATTAAGTCAATATATAGGGCAGATTTTGCACACCCCTTCTTAGGTGACTAGGGGAAGTGGCCAACCCCTCTACCCCCTTCGTGCACATGCCCATGCGCCTGATGCTGGCAATGGCATGCAAACATGAGAAGGTAAACCAAAATATGCTTTATTTTCCACATTCCCAAGTGTGCACAACCACAACATGGCCCGATTTGCTCACGAATGCTTGGTTGCCGGCACAAAGCACATATCAATAGCTAATTATGCCAGAGATGTATCGACTACAAGTTCTAACTAAGACTAAAGTATGCCTTGAAAAAACTCATAAACAGCTTAGACTGATGCGTAGCTTTCCTCTAGAACTTTCCAAAATTTCCTTAATTCTAAGGTAACATGATTATTATAAAAGGAGAAGGCAAATGCAGCAATCATGCCTTGCTGTCGTTGCAGTGGTGCCTGATTCCGAAGTATCACCCCATCCATGTTTTCACTTCAAATGTGGCTAAACGTTCCTTCGTAATACACGAGACAACAAAGCTGAAAATGAATTGCTTGAATAAGGCCTTGTATATTAACTACAGCCAGTGTGCCTCTTATACTGGTTGTTTACAATAAGACTTCCACAAATTGACAGGATAGTTGGCACCTTAACCTGTCAAGTTAAGACTGCTACACTCAAACAAAGGTATTAATCAAATCACAGCCCAAAGCTGCATGTACATGAAAGGATACACAAAGAAGTTGTACTCCTCAAGCATTCCAATGTCTTCTTCAACTGGGTATCGCTGCTGGTAGGAAAATATAAAACTGCAAGGAAACAAGTAGAAGCAATACTGTAAGCACTGGCAAGTTTATCTTCATAAGGATATATTAAAAAAAACGTCTAGCTTTCTGTTTTTGCCCGACATTCAGATTTCAAATGTTTCCATGAGTACTCGCTCCTTTAGCTCCTCCAGGCAATTTTATATTACAATCAACCTTCTGGAAATGTCAATCTGCTTGTTTAAAACTATCATACTCAATAATAAACTTCAAAATAGTAATACTGACTGTATATGTGGACATAGTTAAATGATTTTAATATGCAGCACTGAACTACTACAACAGCAAAATGATACTGAATTAATGGAATGGGCATTGTGTGCAAAATGAAAGGTGAATATCACTTTCCAGAAATCAACATTTTTCTTTAACATGCTGCACAACAATTTTTTCCACTACATGGCACCTTTCCAAATATTGCAGCGCTAGATGCCATTTTCCAAATATTGCAGCGCTGGGTGCCGCGCAGAGCCTCCATTTCGAAAAACGATTCCTGTGCCCCTTTCCTACGCCTGACCAATCCTCCTTTCACGTGCAGTGCACGCTAAGTCGTTGATTGGTCTAAACCAGTCACAATGACGGGCTACACCTTCCCCTCCCTTTGAGAGAGACGGGTGGCAAGGCCGCGTGAAAATTTGAAACCAGCTGCAACCGATGTCCTGATTCCTGTAACTTCGTTAATATAGCACATATTCACAAAATTATTGTGGCAAAGTGTTCACAAAGCAAAAGTGCATATATTTCTCTTTATAACAATTTTTGAACCTTGGGGTGGCTTACTGGCCTTTTAAAGAAGTGAAATGTGGCACGCATTCATCTGTGGTAGCCAGGAATGCGTGCCACATTTCATCTGTGGTAGCCAGGAATCTGTGGTAGCATTCATCTGTGGTAGCCAAGCATATTCAAAGCCTCCTACTGCTACAGCGAACCCTTCCAACGTAATTGCAGTAAAAAGATCACACATACAAAGCGAAAAAAAAAAAAGAACAGTCATTCTGAAGCGCATGAAAAGCGCACGCTCACGCGTGCCCTGTAGCCTTTAACTCGCAATGAAGATATTCCAGACCGCGGTGAGCATCGCATGCAGATTTCGGACGCTGCAAGCAAGGTCGCTCCTTTTCCAGGCATTTCTTCACTGGCAGAACGGCAGTAAGGGATAGGAGAAAATGAAGGCGGCATAAAAAATTGCGGTCAGTTTTTGCACAGCAAACTTTTGTGACGCTGGTTTTTGCACCTCTGAATGCCACCGACTAACGAAACAATGCCTTCAAATGAAAAAAGCAACAACTTTTTTCATTCGATAGTTCCCTGTGGAACTCGACTCGCTGATGCCACGATAGGTGTTAATGACTACTGCGCAGTCGCAGCGGTGCTTTAAAGGGATATGCAGGTCGAAAAACGCGAGTTTACATCAAAAGCACCGATTTTTTTTTTTATTTTCGTCTGTTTCAATAAGATTGGTACATCTACTGTTATGAAAACAAAAAGTACAGTACGAGACTTGACTGGAAATGCTTTCAAATTGCACCTAAAGAGCACAAGACGCCTGTTAAAAAGTCCAAAGTGTGCAGTCTTCGAGCAGCTTGCCACCGATAATGTGCCGCCGCTTGCCAATGTTGATCGCATGATAGACTGATTGATTGATATGTGGGGTTTAATGTCCCAAAACCACTATATGATTATGAGAAACACCGTAGTGGAGGGCTCCGAAAATTTCGACCACCTGGGGTTCTTTAACGTGCACCCAAATCTGAGCACACGGGCCTACAACATTTCCGTCTCCATCGTAAATGCAGCCGCCGCAGCAGGGATTTGATCCCGCGACCTGCGGGTCAGCAGCCGAGTACCTTAGCCACTAGGCCACCGCGGCGGGGTTAGGAAAATAAATGAACACAGAAGAAGAATTGCAGCAGACCTTCAAAATCAATCAAGATGCAATTTAGTTCAGTCGTTATTTTTCTTTTTCATAGGCTGAAAGACACAGCCCTGTTTGCGATCAACTTCTCCCTTTGCTAGAATTGGCCTGACCCAGAAAGAGGGGGCGGAATTTAGACGATAACAATGAGCCTGGAGACAGGTGCGACACTGATTGAAAGCCTCGGGAACCTTATACACTCAACGCTGCATATACTCACCGCACAAGACTAAATGCACCGCACCTTCGTCGTCGTCTCAATTTGTTCTTCCCTCCCGAGTCGTGCTAATTCTAGAAAACGTTACGTAGCGCTAACTCGCCCAAACATTACGACCAAACTCGTGTACGTGACCAGACACTTGCAGTAACGACGCTCAAATGAGTGAACGCTCTTCAGCATTACCAATAAGCCGGACGCTGTTACTCAGCGAAGTCCCCGCTGCTAGATGCCTGCGCGGCTATTAGAAGCCCTCCAATATAATAATTAATAATTTAATAATTTTAATATAATAACAATAATTATTAATAATATTAATAATTTCACTTTGAGCTTGGACTAGTAAGAACTGTACAAACAAGCAACAACAAAAAGTAAACAAACAAACAAATAAAAATGCACGCCAGCTACATGCTCACTGTTTCTCTGTCAAGCAGTTGCAGATGACTTCAAAGAAAGACTCAATGTATGGAATCTCTTTCCCAGTTTGCTTCTCCTGCCTGTAAAGGAAAATAAAGCGTGTCAAACGAGTATCTAGACAGAAGCATCTTCCCTGCTGCAGCTAAGATAAAGCCGCTCTTCTAAAGTTGGTGCAGTGGCACTGAATACATATGAGCTCCAGTAATGGAAGACTGTCATCAAGTTGGAGGCATCGTACCCCCAGAATCTCAAGTTCCTGTGACGAAAGGCAGTTCCAAAGGGTAACAGCACAGCTGTCTTTTGTTTCATTTGAACCTGACTCACAATGTATAAATTTCACAAAACGACAGAATGACTTCCACTGTTCAGCAACTGACACATAGAATCTATCATTCGCTGCTACTATGGCCTGCATTTTAAATATTGCGAGGTGTGGAGCTCACTTAAAGGGACACTAAACGCAAATAATAATTTATGTCTGAGTGAAAGCTCGATGTATGACATAGTCTAAAATGGCAATATTATCAACAGAAGCGTCCTACTGGCAGAGAAATTAAGCTAAATGTACCACACTACGTGGGCCACGAGTGGGACATTTGCGAAATGATCCCAATAACGTGAGAGTGTCCGACTACAATTAATCACTAGTAAACAAACTAGCTGCAATAAAAAAAACAACACCTTCCTTGCATAAAGAGATGTAATAAAATGCTGCTTGTCCGTTTCTATTTGATTTTATAGAAAAAAGAACCGCCTGGCTTTACTATAGGGAATGGCACGAGTGGTTCGAAAATTGCGTTTTTACCTGGTTAGGCTGGATAGCTAGTGCCATGTAGCGGAGCTCAGTGTAAACAATGCAAGCGAAAATTGTTCAATGACCATTGTTGCTGCCGTGGTTCTTCCTACTTTCACTCTGCAGCTACTAGTGTCAGCGGCCGTGCAGTAAAGGTGGGCAACATTGGGCACGGCAACAACGACGTGAGATGAACCGCTTTCAGGTGAGTAATTAGACTTACATGTGGGATCTTACGTCCCAAAACCACCATTTGATTATGAGAGACGCCGTAGTGGAGGGCTCCGGAAGTTTCGACTACCTGGGGTTCTTTAACGTGCACTCAAATCTGAGCACGCGAGCCTACAGCATTTTCGCCTCCATCAGAAATACAGTCGCTGCAGCTGGGAATTTGAAGTGCGCTTACACAACGTGGACACCTAACATGTGATAATATTTAAAACTAACTACTTCCTTGATGCAGAAGTAGCACTACGAGGTTTCTGGACCATTATTTCAGCAATCAACATCGACTTAATATTCACCTACAGTGTCGCTTCAAGCATAATGCAATAACGTCACAAATTGAAAACATTTCACAGATCTCGACATTATGCTTACTCTAATGATACAAATGCAAATACTTTGCGAGTAGAGGATAAGCCAGATCACCACTACAACTAAGTGCAGCTACAGTCGAGCCCACATATAACGGCCCCACTTAAAGCGAACTTTCGCTTAAAACGAACAATATCCGCGTGACCGTGAAAATATACATTGGTTCAATGGCACAAAATCGCACTTACAACGAACATCTCCGAGCGCCGCTGATCGGTTACAGCGAACGGAGTCAGCGGTCTGCAGACTTGCCGGGAAACCGATTTCGACCATGGATCAGGCATCGGCGAGGTGCCCATACATTCTTATTGTTAAACGCCGACCCTGCCTCAGCGCCTCTCTAGTTGCCGCTCTCTCCGACCGCTTTTGTTACGCACCCCTCCGTCCTTCGTCCCCCCCCCCCCCCCTCCCCTGCTACTCTGAGCATTCCGCATCGCCAGACGAGGCCCGTGTTTTCACACTGCCACCAATCTTTCAAAGACCAGTCGGCCATCTACCCCGTTTTTGATCACTGGTACTGTCGACGTCGTCGGCCTAGAGAGACTAGACCATTGGCCAACATCGTCGGCCACCGACTGTATCCGATAGCCTGCGTCTAGTGCACGTGCGTACGCTACCCCACAGACTCTGATAATTTGCGATTCGTTTCGGGTTTAGGACTTGTTCTCGCTCACTTCGCACTCGGCTCAGCATGCCTTCCGCGCGCATGCGGAAGCGCGAAAACAGCTGTTAATTTGCACGGAACGAATCGTAAAATATCGAAGTTTGTGAGGCCACACAAACCTGCCGGCGCAACAAAACGATTTTTGACCATGGCCGCTGATTTTTCGAACATCGCCGCGTGCACTGATTCAGGCGGCCATGCACTCTTTCCAAGTTTTTCTATGTGCGAGTTTCGTAGACCTTTCAAGCAAGCTACCCAACTTGCCTTCTTCCCGTGTGTTTTGGTTTTCGAGGTCGCCCTCCCGCCGCATCCTCCCCTCTCTTTATCGCATCTCCTTGCCCTTCTCTCGCAAGTCTGCTCTCCTCTCTTGATTACAACCCCTTCGCTCGTCTACAGTGGCTAGAATAGGCACTGTAGCCCGTCTCCACCGCTCCGAGACGCCCACCACGCTGGCTCGAATTAGTATCGTTTTCTGACTGGAAACGGGCCCAGAGCTGTTCCATGCATTCTGGCATGTGTGTCACGTGTGCGCATCTTGCTCTCTCTTGGTGTGCATGTGTGGTCACGATGGCCGACAGGAGGGCTAGCAAGCTTTTTCCTGCCGCTCAACAAAGCGTCGAAAGTGTGACCGCTTGGCTTGAGCGTAATCCGCGCGTTAGGTACCGTATTGCGAAGCGCTTGCTCATGGCTGTTGACCACCTGGCAGCCAACTTGCCGCTTCGGGCATCCCGGTATGCAGCTGTTGAGATGGTGAATATTTCGTGGGCGGCAGTGACGGCTGCATGCACGCGAAACTGTTTTCCCAAGGCCGACTTCGTCGAAGTCGGACCCAGTGCCGAGCCTGAAGCTTCCGAAAAAGACCACTGCGGCGGCGATTTGTGGCAGCGTGTCGTCGATTCCGACCTGGGAGAGCGGGTGGGACATCTGTTGCAATGGTTTAATCACGGCCGATGATGATGCCGACACTGCGGAACCATGCACAGATTATGGCATTGTGAATGAAGAACGTGGCGGGAGCGATTTGGAGGAATCGGATTGCGAGAACGACGAAGCTTTGGAGCCAGCGCCTCATGCAGCTTATGCCATGGGCCTCGTCGAACGAGCACCCTGCCGTTTTAAATGAACTCAAGACCGCCCTTATCGCTTCTGCTATTCGAAACACGTGCATCACGGACTTTTGGGGGCATAAAAAGTTTGTGTGTTCACGTGCAACTTTTTTTTCAAAGCTGTGTTTCATTTACTACGAACTTCGAGATACAGCGAACGGATGCCGCGTCACGCTCAGGTTCGTTATAAGCGGGCTCGACTGTACTACCACACGTCAGTCAAAACAGAAGGCAAGTGCATTCGCTTCTAAATAGCAAGGTGAGTGAACTCAGAGTAGTGACAATGTGCACTCCACTGGCGTTTATGCATCACTGACGCTGTGTGTGACAGTATAAGGCACTTTCAGAGATTGCACGTGACAGTGCCAGTACTAAATGACACAGAACAAAACATTTCGGACATTATAAGTTACCAATGGGATCGAGAACACAGGTGAAGAAACAGAGCCCTATGCCTTAAAGAAATCGCATGAAATACATACAGAAGTGGAAGTGACCTTCAGTGTTCTGGAGCAGCTCAGGGAGCAGGAATAATGCTGTTTTGCAGCACCTTTGGTGCAGTAAAATGGGAGTTTCGGAGCCGGTTAGGAGCACCAAAAGGTGCGTTTCGTAGCACTGAAAGTTATTTTTGAAACTTTTTAGGGTCAAACATCATTAAGGGAAATTATTTCTGGTAAAAAAAAATTTCTATGGTTGTCACTAAACATTCAGCACTAATGAGCTGACCAGACCCACTACCCACAAATGTATGTTTGTGTGTGCATGTTCCCATCATTAAACATCACAGCTGACAGAGAACTCGGAGAAAACAAGGTTTAAGCAATGCTTATCTTTTGTTTTCATGACCGCTAGATAATCACGGCACATTTCGCTTGGTGCAAGTTTATCTGCACCCTAATTAGGCAAGCTACTCTGTTCATCTGTGCTAAGTCTGGAGTGTAATGGGGATGAGCAATTCACACTGCAAACCCACACACAAGGTACAGTGAGCCGCCTGGCAGCGCCGGCGTGGGCAGCATAGGTGCCTCACTGCACGCGCTAACCAGGAGTCCAAGCAACCGCTCCATGTTTCAATAAAACTGTCAGTTGTTGCTTAGTATCAGATTGAAATAGAAAAGCGCACATATGTCGCTGTGAATACAGGACCCTGTAATTGTTTCAAAATGCGCCTTGACATTGGTAGGGAACGCTACAACACTATCGTGTGAGAGTGCCACTCCAATACCTCTTCCGCACTTTGGCAAAAAAGAAGAAAGTACTTTCTGGTAGGTACTTTGGGCAACAACTGCTGTGGTACTGCATTTCTTTATTGGTGGCCATGGCGCACGTCAAGAGATGCACATTTGTACTTGTAAACATGCACTGTCGCTTACTACATGATCATGCCGCAATACCAGCTGCTACAAATTATCAAGGTTTCACTGCATTGCTAGATAATTCACAGTTACTTATATTGGTGCCGACAGGTTTGTGGGGAAACCATGGCGATAACAGCAATAAGACCAGCGTGAGCAAGCCCCATGAACGAACCGAATTACATGATCATGATCGAATATGTGATCGAACTACAGTGGATATGGATGCAGCCGCATCCATATCCTTGTCGCCATCTTCTTGTGGCCAACGCTCAGCGCTGCTCGGTCGATGATAATGATCGGTTAGGTTTAGTGGTTTACATTTCCAATAGACAACTATCGCGAAAATTGCCACAGCCTGCCACAGCAGATCAGATTGGCGCAGAATGACGCAATAAACACATCAGTTAGGTTTAACGATTTACGTTTCCAATAGACAAATATTGCGAAAATTACCACAGCCTGCCACAGCACATCAGATTGACGCAGATTGACACAATAAACACAGTACTTTTACCCCTGCACATATATATATCTAAAAGAAAACTATCTACTTGCCACCTGCAAAAAGACATGTAGAGGTGCTGTGAAAGATTTCTGCTTACCCAATTTCAATGAGTGGCTGCAAACAGGACTGCTGCAGCAGGGAGCGAAAGACTTTCAGGACACATATTTTGGCATATGACAACCGTTTCTTGATCATTGAGAAGACCCTACACACAGACACACGCACACACAGAAAAGTGATGAAAGGACACTCGATGAATATACGCACAGGCGTACCGCAGGGCTCAATTTCAAGGCCGCTGCTCTTTCTTGTGCACATTAATATTATAGTCAACATTCCTAGCACTCCTTCAATGGAAGTGATGCTACTGGCTTTCGGAGCAGATATTGCTAGAGTCACTTTCGAGACGCATATTGTGTTCATAAAGAAGTCTGTAAATAAGGGTTGTGTCAAACGGACATTCCGACAAGCCATCTCGTCTTCCTCAGAACAGAACTCTTTTGTTCTAGCCTTGAGAAAGACAATTCCACTTGTCAAAATGCCGGCCCGACACAACCCTTCTTTAGGGATTTTTTTCACGGCAAGGTTCCACCAACCCCTTCCTGCCATTTTTTTACTACTGTGTTCATGACACACGAATGATAAAATTACAATGTGCTGCACGCTATTAAAGCATAATAGAGTAAAAAAAAAGAAAATGATATCACAGACAGATAACCTGACCATATTTAATAGACCAAACCAATGATAAAAGTTAAAACCATAGCACTTCATTATAACGTGACTGTAGATAAGATGACTGGCAATTTTTCAGAAGCCAGATTTTCCAGACATGCTTGCAAATTCAGACGATTTTTCGACAGCATCACAAACCCTATCGACGTCTATGTATAAGAACACCTGAAATTTTTGTCACTGAAACTCTTTGGCGTACGATTTTCCGGGCTTTCAGCCGACACTCCAGGTATGAGACAGCATTACTTAAAGTTCCTACCTTTGCTACGTCTAAGATCTGGTAGGCTTAAACGAGTGCTTTTAGCAATCGTTCGACATCACAGTAATGTCAAAAAGTCGGTTTTGCCGCAATGCATGAGTGCTATGGGGTGAAGCAGATTTGAAAAATTCGAAGAAGCAGGTGTCATCGCGCAGTGACGTGATGTCTAAAGGATAAGCACCGGAAATGCTCGGAGGGGTGATGGCGGCAATGCGGCAAACATGCCAGTGAAACTTAATCGCCTTATGATAAGCATCTTCAGCTAACTTCTTGTTACTGCATGTGGCGCAGTTGTCGACGCACTGCACACTTTTAATCACTCCCACACGCCGCCGTCTACGCTGCCTTTCTGTGCAAATCACCTAAGTGAGCCGCACAGATGTGGTGCCTTCACGAACGCAAGTAGCTCGCCATTGCTGCGCCTGTGTGCCATCAAGAATGAAGTGAGCATCAAGAACACATTTTTATGACAAACAAGCGCCCCGGTAGAAACGGTGTCAGCTGTGTAGGTGATGTGCTGCTTACAACTAGGAACGATCGGTCTCGAGTGGCAGTAAGTGCTACATCTTGCTGAATATTTCCGTACAGTGGCGCATCTTCTAAGTGCACACACACATTTTGGAAGTTCGGACAAGTATTCCTCTATTTTGCCACATCCTTTATGTTGTGTGTCATTGTTTCCAACCACTCCAAGCAATACATCCACAACTTATCCCACGCTTTGCTGGTATCGGCGGTGCTCATCACACGATGCATATTTGCAAATGGGCGTCAGCAGGTTCTGAATGTATTTACAAAAACCTGGGCGTGCACCAAAATGTCTGATGAGTGTACTCTAGGAGGCACTGAAGCTATTTTCAGACGGTGCTGTGGCGATTTGATTACTTGAGCGGAATAAAAAGTTATGAATCTTTTTTCAGATGATTTCCCAGTTTCTAGAAAGCCCGAATAATCCAGAATTCACTGTGTCACAACCATCTACGTTCCCAACAGTAAGCTTCATCGATTTACTTGCTCCCGGACCACTCGCCGGCGGCCCGCGGACGCCTCGGCTCATAGACGGCTAGGTCACATGCACGTGATCCAAAAGTCCCAAGTCAGCACGAGCAACTTCGGGCCATCTGCGCGCTTGATGCTGTCTGCATTCGCTGTGGCGTCTGCTATGCCATCAGTTCCCTCCATGGCTGTGACACAGGCCACAATGCCGACTCAATTCTAACCTCAACAGCAGTTAGATAGTTAACTATACCTATTTCTATTGTGATACAACTTACGGTAAGTGAACTACTCAAGTGCGCACTGTTTCGAAGACGAGACGCCAACATGGTCCCGAAGGCGCTACTGCTCAGAACTCCGCCGACACGGTCACCAGCCGTTGGTAGCGTGTGTTACTCAGCTCGCGACAGCTTCTGCGCAGAGCTGATAGACGAATGGACGAGACGACGGTGAGTTGAGGCAAGGTTTATGTACAGCATAGAAATAGAGGTGCTATAAATTCAGCACTGGAGCCGACAGCTTAGGGACTCAAAGAGCTGAGATGTCTTCTCTGACACATAGGTCTACTGCTGGCGACGTGCCGCAGGGCTGTTTTTAAGGCACCGGGTGGATCATTTGAGTCACCAAACGTCCAACCAGAAGCGCTGCTGGCCGTGATATCAGAATCCTCCAATGGGGGCCAGCTGCTGCGCGTGGTAGCACCAAGGACGAGAGATATTGCCTCGCATTGCATAAGACTCGCCAGACTGGAAGGCACCGATTGCTGCGCGTGGTTGCTGACGTCAGCCGATCCCGCAGCTGCCAACCACTGTTACAAGGGTGCACCGCTGACGAGGTTACTATGGGCACCACAAAACTTGCCGCTGCCAAGGACACCGGCCGCGCCGACAGCGAAAGGGCTCGAAGCAATGAGAGGCTCCACTGACGCATAGGTCTACTGCTGGCGACGCACCGCAGGGCTGTTTTTAAGGCACCGGGTGGATCCTTTGAGTCACAAAATGTCCAACCAGAAGCGCCGCTAGCCGTGATTTCAGAATCATGCAACGGGGACCCGCCACTGCGCGTGGTTGCACCACGGACGAAGGATATTGCCACGCATTGTGTAAGACTCGCCAGACTGGAAGGCGCCGATTGCTGCGCGTGGTTGCAGTCAAGGACGAGTGACGTTCCCACGCATTGCATAAAACTCGCCGGACTGGAAGGCGCCGATTGCTTCAATGGTCTGGTGGGCTGGGGAGCTCGCTGTGCGTTGTGTGACAGACCGGCGCCGTCGCTTGATGACTTAGTTGCGTCGATTGCGTCAGGCGGGCTCGAGTGCTGGCCTTGACACAGATTGCCTTTGCAGAGGCATTGGCGTTCAGTGTGGACTCCCAGGCGTAACAACGCGCATCATAAAGTTGCACGCTCGTTCACCAGCTGTTTTTCCTAGTGAGTATAACATGTGCTGACCCAACTTTCAGGATTATGTGCAACATCAACGTGGCTCAGAACACAGATGAAAAGAACTGGGTGCGCAATAATTCAAAATTCAGAAACATGAGAGAAGCCGGCAGAAAAGCAAAAAGAGAGCAAGAGGGTGCCGAAACTTTCCCGTGTCTAACTTAAGATGGCCACAAAGGCATGTGCACTATGCTGACGTATGCCAGCAGCCTGAAAGAAATCGTTCAGACAGTCCCGGGCCACCCGAAGGCTGCCAGGCACGCGAAAAACGAACATGCGTCCAAGTGATCCCAGACCAGTGGGCGGAGTTTTCCGGTTGGTCCTTAAAAAAAAAAAATGAATGCGGCGCTAGCATTTGGGGCCATTAGGGGCCGTCCAGGACATGTAAATCAATGAAGCTCAGTGACACTTGGCCCAGGCTTGGCTTGGCTCGGGTAGCGTCTTATGCAGGTGCGCTGCGATGTCATTTTCAACGGGAGAACCTCAAGTAGCTTCGTTTCTGAAAGTCGGAACATACCCTTTGGCGCAGGTTGGGCGCAGACAGGGCGATTCAGCGCAGTTTGGCGCAATTGGCGCAGCGGTAGCATCACTGCAATGGTTATGCATAGGCTTGTGCAAATAGTGATTCTGGTCGAATAATTTCGAATAGTATATATAACATATAAAAAAAACTAGGCATATTTATTATGGTCTAACTAACCTGCACAATATTTTTTTTTAAATTGGAATAGGGCCTCTATGCAAATGCCTTTTTTTTTCAATGTAAGTTGAAAGAACTTTCGAGTAGTAGCAAAATTTGAATTTCAGTAGGATGCAAATCATAGCCCTAGACTACCTAACATTTTAAAATTTATTATACTTAGAGCATATAAGCCATCATAACTGGTTTTTAAGCTTAATAAAATGAATTGATTTGAGCATAATATTTTTATTTAAAGGAGCCGTGCGATACTTTCTCAAGTAGCCATGGAATAGATTCATTAAAGAAGCTTATTTATTGCCTCATGAATTCACTGAACAAATACTTTTAGAACCCGTCCAGTATGCACGAAGTTGCGAAGATTTCTCGCACGCTGCAAGTGCATTCTCTCTTCTCGTCTTGACGAAAGCGCTGGAAGCTAAGCAAGGAGGGATGGTGCGGAGAAAAAAGTAGTACGTCACACGTGCTTTCTGAGCTTGTGAAGTCATTTGCCAAGAGAGGAGAGCAATTTTTAGGTGACTTTGAGAATTTACTGTGGACCGCTCGCAACGTGCTGCACTATGTGTCCTCGGTAGCCTCGACTCGGTAGCGTGTCCTCGGTAGCCTCGACTACCAATCAAAAGCGTTTTCTGACAATGCTCCAGAAGTGTTGCTGGATCCCTTTAAATTTGAAAAGGGGCTTCGCGGCAGAACAGATTTCTCCTGAACGAGTGCTTTCACGGTTCAGTACCCCTACGCTGCAGTGAAACCACTTTTACAAACGGTACATTCGGATTAATATGCATTTATTCGTTCCTTGCGAACACTTAGAAATTTTAAATAATTTAAATTCGAATCTAAGCCCTACTATTCGTTCGGATATTTGCACGAGCCTAGTTATGTATGCAGATGACACAAATATCTTCTTTTCTGGGTGTGATATAGATTCAGTAGCGAGCGACGCAAACACATGGTTGGCTGGATTGTAACATCGCTCATAGCAAATAAAAAGTTCAATATTCATGCCGAAAAATAAGATCATAGACAATGAACCCATTGATACTTTTCGCAATAGTGTTCTATCGCGTGTGGACTGCATACAATTTTTAGGCATAATTTTTAATGATAGGCTAACTTAGACAGATCATGTTAAACATGTCTGTTCTTAAGTTTCGAGTTCAGTTGGCATAATCTACAAAATCAGCAATTCGTTTCCAATATGGTTTAAGAAACACTTGTACTACGCTCTTGTGCAATCATACCTTAATTACTGCCTATTCGTTTAGGAAGCACTACACAATCTAATTTGCAATCACTATTTGTTTAACAAGAAAAAAAATGCCATTCGTGCCATCAGTAATATGAGTTATTGAGACAGTAGAAACGAACACTGGAGCAAACTGGGTATACTAAGCATACACGACTTGAAAACTTTGCGCTTGGCTTTTGAGACACACCATTTACTCAAGAATGACGCTACCTTTCCACTAACTTTACACGACCCTCAAAAACATCCACCAAATAGTAGGCTTGTGCTAATATTCGAATGCTTCAAATATTTGAACGAATAGTTGAGTATTCGAATTCGCTTCGATTTGAATTTCTAGAAATTAACAGCAATGTTAGAGTGCTAAGCCTTGAAAGCCCCTACCCAGGAAAAATTCGCTTTGCCGCAAAGCCCCCTTTCAAATTTAAAGGGGCCCTACAACACTTACTGAACATGGTCAGAAAACGCTGCCTATCGGTAGTCGAGGCAAATATTACAGCGCTGCACGTGGCCTGTAATTCACAATAAATTTTCAAAGCTAAAATTGCTTTTTTCCCTCGGCAAATGACACTACAAGCTCAAAAATCACGTGCCACTGCCAAGAACGAATATACGGCTCTAATCACAGCCATTCGCTGATTTGAGCATGGTGCGCTTGTCGTTACCGGGACCGTCTCGGGAGGCCACTGCTTGTCCTCGAATACGTTCGCCATCGCACTGAAAATCCGTGTATTCGAAGAAAAAAAAAGGGGGGGGGGGGTGCTCAAGGTCACGAGGTGCATGTGACGTATTTCTTTTGCCATGCCGTTCCTCCCTGCTTAACTTCCAGCTGTTTCGTAGGGACAAGAAGAGAGAATGCAATTGCAGCGTGCGACAAAATTTTTAAACTCCTCTCGTACTGTACTGATTCTAGAAACTTTGCGGCGGTAAATTTGTGAGGCAACAAGCATGTTTACTGGCTCCATGGCTACAGGAAAAAGTGTTGCAGGGCCTCTTTAAAGAAACATGTTTGCCTCAAATCAATTCTTCATTTTATGAAGCTTGTTTTGACAGCTTATATTGTCACGGGGTCGTGACGCGGCCGAAGACAGGAAACTTCGTGTTGGGATTTAACTGTTTATTTGGGCGAACCTGTGCCCGGTAAAGGGAAAGTCTAATTACAGCAGCAGTCTTGCGCAGATAGCAGTCTCGGACTGATAGCGGCGAGCGCAGCGTCGGCCTTCGATCAACAACTGACAAGCGGCGAAGCGCGTCGGCATTTATACTCTTGCCGTCGAATGTTCTAGCGTTATCGCTGGCGGTGGCGTAGCTTCCAGAACAATCTGTACCGTTCGCACAGTGGGCGTGATCTTATCGAAATGATCTACTACAGTCCGGAACCTTCTAGAAAACTGCAGGTGCAGTTTGCGCTGAGAATCGTGCGGTGTTTTGGGACGATAACAAAAACTTGGGAAATGGAACGTGGCATAGCCCCCCTCTGAAAAAAAAAGGCATCGTCCCGATGCTTTAACTAAAGATGAAGGTACAATAATAATGCAAGAAAGTACAATGAATAAATTACAATACAACAATAATACAAAAACACTGTTTCAGTTTGTTAACGTGCATGAAACGGCTTGAGGCGCGCGACATGGACGACTTCAGGTCGCGATCGGCGTCGTTGAGAGTTCGTGATGCCGTCGGGGACAACCTCGTGATCAAGTGGGCCGAGACGTCGAACCACCCTGTAAGGTCCGAAGTACCGTCGCAGAAGCTTTTCACTTAGTTCACGTCGGCGTATCGGCGTCCACACCCAAACACGTTCACCGGGCTGGTATTCCACGAAGCGTCGTCGAAGGTTGTAACGGTGGCTGTCGGTCGTCTGTTGATTTTTGATACGGAGACGCGCAAGTTGTCGGGCTTCTTCGGCGCGTTGAAGGTACTCGCTCACATCAAGGTTTTCTTCGTCGGTGACGTTGGGTAACATGGCATCGAGTGTCGTTGCCGGACTCCTTCCGTAGACCAATTTGTATGGAGATATCTGCGTCGTCTCCTGCACCGCCGTGTTGTATGCGAAGGTCACATATGGAAGAATGGCGTCCCACGTCTTGTGTTCGACATCGACGTACATTGACAGCATGTCGGCGATCGTCTTGTTAAGCCGCTCGGTCTGTGGGTGGTACGCTGTCGTCCGGCGGTGGTTTGTTTTGCTGTATGCCAAGATCGCTTGAGTTAAGTCGGCAGTGAATGCCGTTCCTCTGTCGGTGATAAGGACCTCCGGGGCGCCGTGACGTAGGACGATATTTTCGACGAAGACTGCTGCTCTAACTAGACTTTCCCTTTACCCAGCACCTCCACCAGATGTCACGGGGTCGTGACGCGGCCGAACACAGGAAACTTCGTGTTGGGATTTAACTGTTTATTTGGGCGAACCTGTGCCCGGTAAAGGGAAAGTCTAATTACAGCAGCAGTCTTGCGCAGATAGCAGTCTCGGACTGATAGCGGCGAGCGCAGCGTCGGCCTTCGATCAACAACTGACAAGCGGCGAAGCGCGTCGGCATTTATACTCTTGCCGTCGAATGTTCTAGCGTTATCGCTGGCGGTGGCGTAGCTTCCAGAACAATCTGTACCGTTCGCACAGTGGGCGTGATCTTATCGAAATGATCTACTACAGTCCGGAACCTTCTAGAAAACTGCAGGCGCGGTTTGCGCTGAGAATCGTGTGGTGTTTTGGGACGATAACAAAAACTTGGGAAATAGAACGTGGCAATATGCTCCAAGTATAATAATTGTTAAAACGTTAAGTATCTTACAGGTTATCACTCGCATTTTATTGAAACTACTACTCAAGGTTGTTTCGACTTCCTTTGAAAGAAAAAAAAAAGGCATTTGCATAGAATCCCTATTTAAATTCAAAAGGAATATTGTGCAGGCTAGTTGGGTCTTGATAAATATTCCCTTTTCTTATATGTCATACATACTACTTGAACTCTATTCAAAATTATTCGATCAAAATTACTATTTGCTTCGAACCTAAAATTCAATATTCACACAAGCCTACCAAATACATTCCGATATGTTAGCTACAAAAATAACAGGATACGGACAAACTGCAGTTCGGAAATGTTGCACTACGAGATTACAACACTCTTCAAGAACAATAAAGATATAGAAGAAATAATAAAAAAGTACAAATCAGGAAAAAAATAATAATCGTCAAATAATTAAACTAATTTCACCGACTTAATTCTTTTTATTGAGTGTCACTCAATGCATATTGCCTGCTACATGCATTCAGTGTTTTCAATATCAACCGTGATGCATTCTATTATATATTTACTTGTAAAATGTTACTCTATCTTTCTAATGTATTCAATGTTGTACGTGAAATACTACTTTTTTGTGTAAGTTTTTCAGTCGCTTCCATCTTTTTCTTCTTTTTTTGCTGCCATTGCTTAAGTGCAAACTGTTCTTTTTGTGGGAAGACCTCGTCAGGTGTGATTGCGTTTAGCCCTCTCTTTCCGAAGTGTAATTATTTTTGCACTTGAATAAAAATCCATGACAGCATTAAAACGGTCACACTATAGACAAACACTGAATAAGAACTAGCCTGTAAAGTGTGCTTTCACAACTCCATTTTCATTATGTCTTGCACCAACATAATGTTAATGTTTCATTGTGTTATTCATTGAAATAGAAGTAAGGTCAATGTTCTACTCTTTAATTTTATGGCAAGAAGCAATTGTCACATACAGACGTGATCTGCTGTATTCCTGATCTGTTACAATTTCAGAAATCAATATTTTCAGGATCTGCTGCATGCCCAAGCTGAGTGGCCATGACGGACACAAAAAATGCACACAATTCGACCACTTCCGCTACGAAAACATCAGCTCTAAAGGGGCCATGACATCCAATTTTCGATCATAAGCTGTGCATTGTGGGGTAATTCTTGTGCGTCCACCGACAAGCTGGCGATATTCTGGCACGCTTGGTCAAGCACTCAATTTATTATTGAATATTTTCATAAACACGCGAGCGGTCTGAAAGTCGGGCAACTCGCTTTCTCTCACATAACAAGTAGGTTGCCGTGCAATCGTCGCCTGCATTCCGGTGAACGACATCGGTCTGTGATGAGCTGCGCTAGAAATCAAGGTACTTTAGCTTTTCTTCCACTTGGCACTGAAATTGAACAATTTCGCAGTGCCTGAAACTTTGGTAGCAGACGATGGTTCGGCATGATACAGAGCATGGCGTCACAGGCGCCATAGCAAATGGCGGTCGTCGGCGGTAAGTGGTGTTTATAGCCGGTGATTTATATGGCTTGTTTTGCTCTGAAAGATTCCTTTACAGTCCACTTTCAATATGTGCATATGTGTAATAGACCTTCTACTCCTATTTTTTGCTGAAAACCACACATTGTTGGGTGACCATGTCATGGCCCCTTTAACCACTACTGCCACAGGTTGTCTTCTAGCTGTAAGCATGCTGTGCCAACCAAGAGGTTATCAGGCTGCTTACGGTTCGAAAGGCTCCGACTTGTTGCGGCGCACAAGCTCCTCCTTCAGTACAGGAAAGGTGGCGTCGAAAAACCTTGCTAACCTGCAAAAATAGGTTCGATGCTGTCACACAATTTTGTGCCAACGATGCAACATAACCTTTTCCAAATTCAAGCACAAACAACAATCATGACGCGGAACATGTCTCTCCCCGTGTATAAGAAGTTCTCACCCAGTACACAAGTCAATAAATTCATTACCTTACGTGTTTCAAAAAGCTTGTGAAGGCAGCTGCATTCTCATAAACTGAAGCACGATACAGATAACGGCTAGTTGAAATGCATCCCAAGCCGACCTAATTCACAAATACTGTTGACTCTCGTTAATTCAAACTCGAAGAGCCCTCTGAATTTTGTTTGAAATATAAAGAAGTTAGAATTATCAGAAGTTTTTTGATAAATGACTCTGGGTGATGTGACACCACACATTATGATTAGGCATTGATTTTATCACATATAAAAATTTGTTAGTATTTTTAAATTCTAACTGCACGCAATGAACAGAAAGCAGAGGTGTATGGTTCACGAGTTTATTGGCCATTTACTGCTGATCAGAGCTTTTAAAGAAATCGTGAATTGCCAACTGCTTCTTTGCTATAGGTATGTGCCTTTAGCCCAAAGCTCATTATACCAGTTGAGAAGCATCACGGTTTACCATGCATGCGCTTTGTTTCAAAGATTTGTTTGCTAGCAAAGCCTTTTTCCTTGAAGGCCTGAGGTGCTTATTTTTAATTTTTAGACTATTAGTATTATATAAGCACGCAAATAGAAGTGGGAAAGCAGTAGATATTTTCTGGTATGGAACTGCAAAAAGTATGAACCAAATGGTGAAGTTTGAATTAAGAGGCTTTTAAATACATTGAAAGAATAAAAGGCCAACCAAAAATTGAATTTTGTTTTGAATTAATCGAAAGTAAGAATCATCAGAGTTTGAATTATCGAGAGTTTACTGTTTAAAGTGGTAGCAACATGCAACCAACTGGTTAAAACTTTTATATTGTCACGTGATTGCAGAATGACCACAACATCTGTTCACAGGAGCAGCACTGGATGTTGAGCCAAAACGAAGGTTAGAGCACGAGCACACCAACAGTCCTCTTTTTTTCACACCATGGCACATACTCGCATTAGCATGGCTAAACCTCATTCCATGCCTGTGGCATTACCCCCCTTCCAAAAAAAAAGTACCACCCTGACGATCAATGCCGATTAAAAGTTAAAGTAATCACGTACACGCACAAAGACGTATGATGAAGCAGTGTCAGGTGGCTCGGGAGTAGTGTGGCTTCATCCGTGACACATGAACAATGTCGGCCTGCAGGGAACATCGAGATCGCCGAGCTGTGTCTTCAAGTAGAATTTCGTAGTTGACATCTGTGAGGCGCCGTAGTACTCTATAAGGAATGAAGTAGCGGCGAAGTAACTTTTCTGAGCGGCCCCTTTGGCGAACGGGGATCCACAGCCACACCAGATCACCAGGTTGGTAAATAACGTGGTGATGACGGGAGTTGTACCTCTGCGAGTCGATGCATTGTTGTTTTCGGATCCGCTCGAGTGCAAGCTGGCGGGCCGCGTCGGCGAGCCGAATAAAGTCGTTCGCATCAGTAGGAATATCGGTCATGTCAGGCAAGAGCATGGCATCCAGCATCGTAATTGCTTCTCGGCTGTGAAGCAACTGGAAGGGAGTGAAACCCGTAGTCTCTGGAACAGCAGTGTTGTAAGCGAACGTTACGTATGGCAAAATTTCATCCCAGTTTTTGTGATCGCGGTCGACGTACATAGATAGCATGTCAGCGAGCGTCTTGTTTAATCTCTCCGTTAGACCATTGGTTTGTGGATGGTATGCGGTCATTTTGCGATGAGCTGTTCCACTAAGTTTCGTGACGTTTTGCATCAATTGAGCTGTAAAGGCTGTTCCACGGTCAGTGATAAGAACTGTTGGCGCTCCATGGCGGAGGACGATGTTGTTGATGAAAAAATACGCAATCTCATTGGCGGTGCCTCGTTGTAGGGCTTTTGTTTCGCAGTACCTCGTTAAATAGTCAGTAGCGACTATGATGCAGCGGTTGCCATCATGTGACTTCGGGAAGGGCCCAAGCAAGTCCATGCCGATTCGTTCGAACGGTTGTGAGGGGGGTGCAACAGGCTGCAATAAACCAGCAGGGCGCACAGGTGGGGCTTTACGGTGCTGGCAATGATTGCTCGTTTTAACGTAATGCTTGACATCCTGGGCGAGCTTTGGCCAGTAGTAGCGAGTCCGAATCCGGCCAAGGGTACGTGCGAATCCTAGGTGGCCGGAGGAGGGCTCGTCGTGGCAGGCAGATAAAATGTCAGCACGTTGCCCTGGTGGAACGACGAGGAAGTATTCAGTCACATAAGGTTCGAAGTTCTTTTTGTAGACGATGCCGGTGTGGATACAAAATGACCCTGAACGTGCAAATACCGATGGTGGACTCGAGCTGTGACCTTGAAGATATTTGATAAGTTGTCGGATCTCTGAATCATTCCACTGTTGTTGGGCCAAGCCAGATTCACTGACTGCACAAAGAAAATGGCCATCGGTATCATCGTCACTCGATGTCGTCGCGAGGGGAGCACACGAAAGGCAATCAGCATCAATGTACCTGCGGCCCGACTTGTAGACGACTGTAACCTCAAACTCTTGAAGGCGCAAGCTCCACCTCGCGAGACGCCCTGAAGGGTCCTTGAGATTGGCCAGCCAACAGAGGGCATGATGGTCCGTAACTACTCTGAATGGACGGCCATACAGATACAGTCGGAACTTTGTTATCGCCCAAATAACAGCAAGACATTCCTTCTCCGTGGTCGAGTAGTTAGTTTCCGCAGATGACAGAATGCGACTAGCATAAGCGATGGGACGTTCAGCGCCGTTTTGCCACTGGACGAGCACAGCACCAAGACCGATGTTGCTTGCGTCAGTGTGAAGTTCGGTGGCGCATCTTCATCAAAGTGCCCTAGTAAGGGTTCACTCTGAAGGCACTGTTGGAGCTTGAAAAAAGCGGCTCTCTGCACTGGACCTCACACAAAAGGAGTATCCTCCTTCGTTAAGCGAGTAAGGGGTTCAGCGATGTTGGCGAGCATCCAGACGAGCATCCGGACAAAAGCCATGAAGACCCATGTGCCTGTATGCGCACTCACGGTAGATGTGACCTGGTTCACCACAGTGATAGCATACGAGGCCGGTTGTTGGGAGCACGCCATACACTGAATTTCCGTGTAAGAGGTGGGTTGCCGTACTGCGGTGGTCCTGAGTAGAATGACGGCGCCGTCTGCAGGGTGGACGGACGGGACGGATAGCCAACAGCCGGTGCAGGAGTACGTACTGCTTCCGCGTACGTTAATAGCGGAGCTTCGGCTGGACGCAGGGCCGTCATGGGTTGGACCTCGGCTGCACGCAGATTCGTCATGGGGTGCACCAGCTGCCGGACCACTTCACAAACGACATCGGTCAGAGCAGCAACATGAGGCGGGGAAGACACCATGTGCAGCTTTTGCAGCTCCTCGCGCACAATACTGCGCACGAGCTCCGTAAGGACTCTTACAGTCGTGACGTCAGGTGTTGGGAGCGCCGACTACACTGACGAAAGACTGCCAGGGAGCTCATACTGATACGAACGCTGCCTTAGCATTCTCTCCATTGTTGTGGCTTCGCGGAGGAAATCCTCTACAGTGCTGGGAGGGTTCCGCACTACAGTGCAGTCCACTTATAACGATATCGAGAAAACCTAAAAATATGATCGTTATAACCGGTGATCGTTATATCTGGACTGCCGCCAAAAAATCGTCGCCGGACGTACCTTTTGTAGCTCCAGGCTTCATTTCGCTATTTTCACCAATTAATAAATATTGTAGATAGTAGGATGTCAAAAACAAGACTTTATTTCTTACTCCCAAGAACGCATCACGGGTTCGCTGAGGAAGAGAGACTGACCGACGGCGGAAGAAAGCACAGCCAGAGGTACACAGCCGGAATGCCAACGAGGCCCCGCCCCGATGCCGCCGCGCCGCTTTGCTTTTCGCTTTTTTTATTTTCTCTCTCTTTCCCGCTTTCGTTCGGCAAGCTACGAGTAGCTTGCCGGCTTGCCGTTGTAGAAGGCGGGGAGCCGCGGCGCTTTGCTTTTCGCATTTTTTTTTAATTCTCTCAGCCTCTCCGCGGTCGACGCGCGGCGAGGCGCAAAACGTGACACAGCTGGCGCCATCTGTAGCGCATCGCGCCAACTCGCGATGCTCTCCTCGGCTTTTTGAACGGCCGGGACGCGCTGCCGGCGCTGTGCTGCAGTGGCGGCAGATACGTACTCGCCTACGCTAACTTTTCGTCTTGTCTCGGCATAGTTCGTTTCAGAGGAACTTATCAATCTAAATGTTACGATTATTCTGAATGAAACATGCCATCCACGGCAAACTTTTCATCGTTGTATCCGATATGCGGTGGATAACATATCGTTATATATGGATTTTTTCCCCATAGCCCCAATGCATAAAATGAGACTGTTAAGTCGACCCATCGTTATAACCGATATATCGTTATATGTGGTATCGTTATAAGTGGACTGCAGTGTAGTCCAGCGAACAGCAGCTCTTTCACTTCCCGCATTAGGAGGCGCACCTTCCTCTCTTCCGTCATTGAGGAGTCAGCTCGCCTGAATAGCCGCGACATGTCCTCAACGAACATGGCAACACTCTCGTTTGAACGCTGATTTTGAGGATTGAGGAGCCGTTCCGCTTGCTCCTTTCGGTCAGAGCTTCGGAAGGTATTCCGCAACTGGTTGCAAAACTCTGGCCAGGTTGTCATAGTGGCTTCATGGTTTTCCAACCAAGTGCGTGCAGAGTCCTCGAGATAAAAGTAGACATACCGAAGCTTTCGCTGCTCGTTCCACTCGTTGACGCTGCCGCAACGGTTGTAGTCGTCAAGCCAGTCGTCGACGTCCTCGTAAGGGTCCCCGTGGAATGGCTTAGGGGTTCACGGGGCATTGAAGAACCATGGAGGAGGCAGCATTGATGTCTCTTGTTTGCGTTCCCGCACTAGCCATAGTACTGCCGAGTTGTGGAAATGGTCCGAATTCAGGAGGTAGGCCTAGTTGTCGCCTGCTACGCCGTAGGTGAGCTGGTTCTTCTAAGTCGCGACTAGTGTCGAGACCTTGCTGCTGATTGCAGTGCATACAACACTACCCCGCACCTCCCCCAGAAAATGTCACGTGATTACAGAACGACCACAACGTCTGTTCACAGGAGCAGCACTGGACGTCAAGCCCAACGGAACAATAGAGCACGAGCACACCAACAGTCCTCTTCTTTTTTCACACCGAGGCACATTTTTTCACACCGAGGCATACTCGCATTGGCATGGCTAAACATCATTCCATGCCTGTGGCAATATGCACAGCATGAACCAGTGGCAAGCGGTGAGATTTACCCAACTTTTGTGGTGCTTGCCCGTTTAGATGGACCGTGACGACATCATGACACGTCGACAAGACGAGATTTCAAGGTGCTTCGACCCTAAAACACCATTTGAAAGCACATTTGTTTACCTTCACATCGATAGACATAACACTGTAAAGCTAGCGACTGTACCACAAAGAACTTTTAACACAAAAAATAGCAAATGTTTTCCTGGGAAAACAAAATGTAAACTTACTTTTTTACGTTTCCCTAACTTAAACATACAAACTACAGCTAATTTTCCCATTAAGTAGTTACACCCTGATTTTTGTTGGTTTAATGTTTACAGCTGCAGTGAAACTGCTCCTCACCTCGGACCCACATCTTCGAGGGTGAAGATCTTGGCGGCTGTCGGGTAGACGTTGAGGAATGTTGCCAGGTTGGCAGCGATGTCCACTGCGTATGTGACACGCTCAAGGAACTTCCACAAAGGCATAAGGCACAGCTCTGAAAACTCCGCCTTTCCCTCGTCCAGGCGTCGTGGCATGGCGTCAAAATCGTTGTCGTCCTGGGACTTGATGGACTGCTCTGCCCTCTCAAAAGTCTGCAATTTTCACACGATCAACAATAAAGCAGTCGCTAATACTACTGAAACACTGCATTCTTGATTAAACGCACTGACATAAGAAAGCAGAGATCAAGTGCGACGCATATGATGGCGTTGTAGGAATTTATTTGTCCACTAAGAAGCCATATTATAATTTTTGAAAATCACTTTTGAGGCATGGCTGTATACAGGGGTTTGGATGCAAGAGTGAAGAGGCTTTCTGTGCGCCCAATACGTGAGGGCTAAAATGCTGCTTTGTGTGGCGGGAGAAAGGAGAGGTGGGTAGGTTCCCGTATGGATCCACCAGTGTTTTTGGCAATGCTGATCATAGTTACGTGCATGAACCAAGTCAGCGGATATGGGACGTTTATAAGCGCAACAGAAACTGTTGAAGATGAGCGATTCTATGGCTGTACACATTTCAGCACAAAACGTCCGGCTATGCACAATTGACAAAAAATCTGTTAGCAAGCACGCCAATAAAAAAATTACTGTAACACGCAATCGGAAAGATGAAGGGCTTAAGGCCGCTGCGTAACTTTTGATAAGACATGGAGGGACGGGCGTACAACGAGGCATACAGAGCCTCGTAATCAACTTCCTCTACTGCTGAGAACTACGGGGTACATCCTGCGCCCTCCATGACCACATCGGCTAGGCCACCTCCCCGTATCATCCCTTGCAAAGCTCACCATAAGCATGGTATCCTCAATTTCCTTCAGGTCCGAGGCATACTTAGGCTGGCAGCTCATGATGTGCTCCACCATGCGACACACCAAGTCGTGGTTCGACCTCTCAAACAGCATGCATATGTCGAAGATCTTGGGAATGTCGAAGATGAAGTTTTCGTAGATGAGGTCCGCAAATTTCTCCCTGTCGATGAAGTTAACCTGCATGCACGCAAAGTTTGGTGCGCACTCTTTGAAATTTCATTCTCAGATTTGACATTTGCTGTGTTCCCTGGGGACATTGTTCTCCCTTATGAACAGTTATGGTTCTGCGATCTACCACTTGCCTACAGTGGCGAGTACCAGTGACTTTCATGAAACAACTTTCGAGGCATGTTTCCCGAAAGGCTAGTTTATCGTAACCACCTTTATCGGTATCTAACCAGCACCCTTTCCAGTTTAGCCCTGCGAGATAACTAACATTATAATAAAAATTACCTCAATTTAAACATTACCAAGCTTGAATTTACCGAGCTTGAAACATTACTTGCATGTTTTATACAGGCAAGAGTCTGATGAAATTCTGCCTGGGCAAGGACAAACACAGTGAAAAAAAAGAACACTGATCAAGGTAAAAGGCAAAATTTTTTTTTAAAACGAACACTTTTTAAAGGCCATTGTGAACAAGGCATCTGTACAGAAGCTGAAATGCCTTTAAATTTCGGTGCCTTTCGAATTTTCAGCGTTTTCATTTTATTTCACTTGCACATTTTGTGAACACAATTCCCCATGTGTTTTTTTTCTTCACATGTTGTAATGCCCTTAAATCTAGTGCTATTGTTATTGTTAAGAGAAAAATGAAGACATTATTTTAGTACATTTTTCTTTCATGTTTAATTAAAAAAGAAATTCAATAGATTATACAGCAATTTATAATATACCCATTCATTTTCTTTTTTTCCAGCAGATTACTACTCTGGTACTTGCTAGCATTTTTCAGCTTATTTTTACCCTGACAAGAAAGAGGTAAGAAAATTTTTTCTGCACGATAATAGTCCGAATAAAAAATCTGAAGTTACACGATTCGCGTTAATGTAGCAGTACTGAAATTACAGTTTGAAATTGAAAAATGAAAATATGCCCTTCAGATTCCCTTATAGTCACTGCATTCTTACATGAAGGCTCACGAAATGTAGGTTTTGAAGAAATACATTGTCAGTACAGCAAGAACACCCCAGATGCAATCAGGTACTCAAAAAGATCTCTCAGTGGCTTTTTATAAAATGTCAAAAAGTGTGAGACGTTGAGTTGTGAGAAACACAAGCTATTGGTGCTTACCTTGGACTCCTTATTCGTGGAAAGGCGGAGGAATGTTCGGAACACCAACTTGTGCAGCCGTTCGTCAGTATCCTGCATTTCCTTAGTGATAGTGTACCGGTGAAGTCCTGTGTACCTGGTTGGCGAAAAACGTGGCTTAAGCTCGGCGACTGCCATCAAGCGTTTACGCAGCCCTGCACAACCGCAATATTCGTTCTATTTACTGCGTATAATGTATTACGCAAACAGGTGTTAAACACCAGTTTCTAGTCTAGTTTCAACGACCTGAACTTGACATTATCAGATCAAAGAAATCTGATTATCACGTAGTGCACCAAACATTAACATCGCAAAATTTATTTTTGAACAGAGACCAATAGCATTATATACATCACAACATTTGGAAAGCAATTAAAACACGTTCACTGTAATAACCACAGGCAACCTAGAGTGCTGCTTCAATTCTACAAATAATAGGTATCAAACAATGTAATTCTACTGCATACAATTAATTATTATTAATTCAAGCTCCACAAAGTTGCTACATCAGATAGTTTGAACGTGTTCGCAGGTCCTGGCAGGCATATTAATCAACCAATCAATCATTTTATTTCCTTTTTATTAGGAGGAGTACAGGACTAAAAGCTAAAAAGCTTGACGAAGTCCCAACCACATTAAAATGTATTTAATAGTTAGTAACATGTATTTAATAACATGTTTAGTAGTATAAGAGACTCTCAGTGATTCAGTCCTATTTGGCCGCAACTTGGTTAATTTGCACGATCCTAGGAGCTCCCCAAGCCTGAACCGCGACAAATGTGTAGCACAAAGGAGCACAAACGGCATTCGTGAACAACCAAAATGGAAGCAAGCCTTCAGAAAGTTGTGGCTGCCATTCTCAATCTTACCACAATTGCGTTGGCGACCAGGGCTTCAGCGACTAGGGCGAAATTGTTCCGTTCTCAATTGCACTGGTCGCACGTGACCTGAGTAAGCGCTCAGATTGTATAAATAGCAACTGGGTCAAAACTGTGACAAGCAACAGCCTTGCTTTTGCCTCGTGCCTTTCAGAACTCTGTAGCTGCCTTAGAAGTGTGGCAGCTTGGACTAGTTGATATGGCATGATGATAGTTATAGCGCGAGAACAAAACGACGACACAGAGATAAGAAGGACTTGCGTCCTTCGTGTCCTTCTTGTCTCTGTGTCGTCGTTTTATTCTCGCGCTATAACTATCGTCTGTAGCTGCCATTTGTGATTGTACATTAGCGAATGTACAATCACAAATCAGCTGCCCATACAATGTTTCCAATCTCGCTTCGTCTATATATGTGGAATGCACGTAAGCCTTATGAACTGCATGGATGCTATGACCATGTTTAAGCGATCACAGTTTTGTCCACAATGGATGTGGAACTGAGCAGTTTCGTTTTGACTTTTGGCAATGCACGCACAATGTCACAAAACTCAAACACGGAGGAAATTGTTGAAAAGCTTTAGTCGCAGTTACCTGCTGGCATGAAATTCACTTGCTACAATGTGATAGACAAACGACGAGCTGCCAGTCATTTCCCTGGTGAAAAAATGTATTGTCACGTGCACATGGTGGCATCTGTATGTAATAAGGGATGGCTTTGCAGCATCTTTTGGCTGAAGACATGGGAGTTTAGAGCCACGGTCACGTTATGAACAAAGTCACAAACGACAAAAATTGGGGCATTTACGCTGCTCTTATGAAAAATAAGCACTACATTTACATACTCAACAGGCAAATAAATATGCACTAATGTAACAGACACTTGTTCATTGTTTTCTCAATACTTTCTGAACAATTTGAGATTTGGTTCATTAGGGTATTTCTTCCGGTACCATAAAATCCATAATAACAATTTTTACAGTATGTAGTTAAAATAGCAGGCCTCAGAAAGACTAGTTCACTGTCATTTTTTTCAGTTGCTTAACTTTGTCAGCTTGCCTCCTATCATGCCTGAGAAAACTTAGGTGCTAGGCTTCAAGTCTCGAACCAGTACAAATTAACACAAAAGCGATCTTTGGCAATGTCAATGCAAGCCTGTGTGCAAGTGATATAGTGACAGCCAAAGAAAAATGAGTGGGCAAACCCTGGAGATGACTATCAACAGATTTTGCATCTCAAGGCAGGCCTGTGCCCAACGAGCCAGCGCTGCCACTGTTCTTGAGGCCGCGGGCATGTGCACGAATGTGCCCAAACCTTCCTTCCTCCAAACTAAAAACAAAATAAGAAAATGAGTTTTGCCTTGCCAGTGGGCCCCGCTTTTTATTAGCATCACATGTAAGGCCGCACTGCATATGAAGGGCGCTTTACGGAATAGTTTTCCACAATATCCACGTCATTCGGCCTTCGTTTTCGACACCATGCGCACGTGCATAGCTTCACTGCGTGCGCACGGTGTGGCCTCCGATGACGTTCAGCATTGCTTTTTTTTTTCTTTAATTGCAGACAACCATGTTGTTACTACCGAGAGAGTGTCAGATTAGGCGCTGATGAAAATTATTTGAGACCACGATGACAACGGCAGATCTTCGGAGGTCGACTTGTCATGTGCTTCCGTCCTGCGCCACGCTGCAAGTTGACGGGACTGCAGCTTTCGCGATTAGCCAGTTAACTCTGGCAATAAAATGGTGGTGCGTTGAATGCAATACAGTGAATGTAATGCAATGAATGCGATGGCAACAAATTGTAATGTTATACGAAGTAAGGCTGGCAGCCAACTCTTTTAGATCCGATATTGTGGAACTCCTACAAAATTCTGGTGAAATCATGCCACTTGACGAACAAGTGCTCTTTTTATGCAGTCCCTTCGCATTGAAAGCACACTGATGCTTGCTGAGATAGCATGCACGGCAGAAATCGCGACAATGCCATTCAAAAGAAGTTCGCTGCAGCTACTGGAGTGACCCCACCTTGCGTTTTTTTTTTTTCTCGCTCATTCAAGACAGGTGGTTTTCTTTCTCTTTAAACATACGACGGCAGTTCTAACACGCAGAGGGATATTATCATATACGCCCTCCAGGTAATAGAGATGGGCTGCCTCATTTGGACTTGTTACAGAACATGGCGGCGATGGCAAAAACACCCCGAGAGTGTCTATATATTTGCTTTCGCAATAATAAAGCACTTTTTTACCCCTAAATAAGTGTTTTGGGCTAGCCCTGCCTTCAGTTCTCCTGTTGTATAATTTGTGCATTTATTTTCCGAATTTTGGTACTGAACGTGCATATAATGAAAGTTTCTTTATAACAAATTTTTCTAAGAATCAGTCAATTTATTTATATACAGGTTTATCTGTAAAGCAATATCATGTTTACAGGGCATAAGAAGGTGTGAAAAGGCATACTTTGGTGCAAGCCGCAGGTATGACTCAAGCAGCTGGTGGAAACCGTCGTCGTACCTGGCATGAGACCAGAACCTAGAGGCATAGCACATGTTGTTAATATGCACACACAACACCCTAATTCTATACACTACATTTTCTAACTAATTTGATTATTTATTTATTTATCTTCACATATGATTAAGCACACTTTCCTCTTATACTTATTCAGAAGATAGCCTCATTATGCAAGGTAATAGAGGGGTGGGACCTTCTATTAATACATAAAAACCAAAAAAATTAACATTTACATATCAGCAGATGGTAGGCAGTCGCATAAAACATTGAAATATTAGTGTTAATTGCGCTTTGTAATCAACAAAAATATTCCGGATGCAAAATACAAAATTTGTGTACATGATTACATAGCATAGGTAAAAAATACAAAATGCAGTGTTTTACATATGTAGCAAGTCAACTATGAAGCTATGGTATCACAATATTCTTGAAGTTTATTTTTTAAGGTATTCCGACACAAAAGTGAAGCAAAATCGGTGTGCTTCACATGATTCATCTTCAATTTGGTCAACAAAAAATAATATTCTTTGAGTCTTGCAGAGGTGAGACGTGGGAGCTGATTTAGAGTAACCAGGTATTAAGCCATTGGGTTAATTCATAGTAAATGCTACCCAAAACAGGAGGTAAAAGAAAGAACAAAAGAACAGCATGCAGGCGTGGACAGAACAGTGAGATGGTATTATCAAGAATACCAAAAAACTAAGCAAACACACGACACAATGATGCACACACACACCCAGCATCAATCACGCACAGCGCTCACTTCTGACTAATTTATTCATAGCACGAAGGTTGGAACATATACATGGGGCATATGCGCACATTATTAACATCATAGAAGGCCAACAGCATACACTATCAAGACATACAGTTTATTCTCTCACAGCCTAGAACCGATAAACTGGGATTCACTTGGGAACAAAGATGGTGAAAGGGTGCTTACACAGTGATCCTTATTTTTTTTTTTTCAATGAAAAAGGCGTCTAACACTTCACGTGCAGTTTTTCTTGCACTTAAGTTTACAATATTCGTATCAGAAAAGAGGTACGAGAGGTTCTTTGTGAAATGTTCTACGGGGAGTCATGTACTCAATACTTTTATCCTACGGCAAGGTGAACATTGGCCATACCGAAAGATGTATTAATTACCACTTAAAGGAACACGGCCTAAAATTAGCAAAACGAGATGAAAAGTATGCGCACCTAGTTGCGCATGTCATTTTGTGTGGTTGCGGTGCACGATTCTCTGAGACAAAAATTCTAGGCAGAAGCGCAAGAAAAACTGCACGTGAAGTGTTAGAGACCTTTTTCACAAGAAAAAAAATAATAATAAGGATCACTGCGTGAGTGCCCCTTCGCTAGCTTTGTTCCCAAGTGAATTCCAGTTTATAGGTTTGAGGCTGTGAGAGGAAAAACTGCATGTCTTGATGATGTATGCTGTTGGCCTTCTATGATGTTAATGCGCACATGTGCCTCATGTATAGAGTCGAACACAGTTATATCAAACCCACATATATCGAATTTTCAAGTATATCGAACTAGCAAGTTATCCCTTGAAGTTCCTTAGTAAAAGTATAGCAATTCACACATTTATATTGAATGGTATTTTTACCCGCTTTCCCATCTATTGAATGCCACGCGAGCTTGAAGGTGCGCTTCAACACTCCCTACCCGCGATCTCCGCGGCAGCATGGCTCCGCACACGAGTTGGACAGCGCGCTCTGGCACTCGCAGCGCTTAAAGACCTGCTCACGGCACGCCACCGCCAGAACCCGAAACGCTCGAAAAAAGGTAAGGGCGAGAAGGCTCAGACTGTACAATATTTAACTTGCTTTTTTTTAACACTTTTTTTTGCTTTATCTTTCTCTCTTCTCATGCTTTCTCCACATACCCATCAGCTCGGAGAGCAGGAACGAAGGAGCCGATGTCCTCCTCCTTTTGCCTTTTATTTTATTTTTTGTTGCTGTTTTGCAAGTTTTGATCAGCCAACCACAGCTCACGCCTTTTTCTGTTGCCCTCGCAGGTGGCCATCGCCTCGCGAGCACTTTGTTGCTTCCGCTGTTGCGTCGCCTACGTATAACCGCATGTGCAGCATTTTTCTTTTGCGTGTGTGGTGTGCAAAGCCACTGCGGACGTCCTCGAATTGTCGACTTCTCGCGTAGCTATGGTCAGCGCCAAGAAGCACAAGACCTTTGACTTTGCTGACAAAGTTGAGGGCTATTCAGCATGTTGAGGCGGGCGAGAAATGTTCGACCGTCGCAGACGACTTCGGGATATTACAGAGCACTCTAGAGTACCTTGTGAAAAAACAAGGCAGATATCAAGGCAAAGGCGGCAGAGCAACAAACGCCGGGAGCCAGTCATGTGCGCGCTTCTGCCCACGGGAATGTATAAAAGGCACTCTATGCCTGGTTTTTAGAAGTGTGCGCGAAGAACATTCCGGTGGATGGCCCGATGCTGATTGCCAAGGCCAAAGGTTTGCCACTGCACTTGGTGAAACAACTTCGCCGACAACACCGATTGGCTTCACCGATTTAAGCAGCACTACAACATCGTTGGCCAAACCATTTCTGGCGAAAGCGAAGCTGTCAGCAGCCAGGAAATCCAGCAGTGGATAATGAAGGAGTGGCTGGAAATCTCCGCGAAGTTTTCTCGTGCGGGAGTTCTTCAATGCCTGGCGAGACATGAAGACGGACACAGTGGTCAACAGCTTCTGCAAGGCAGGCTTCGAGACGGTGGAACTTGTGGAAACTGGTGAAGACGGCTTCGACGAGCGCATAGACAATACGTTTCGCAAGTTGTCGTCTTCATCGTGGCAGCAGTTCTACACGAAATGTCCGCGAACAACTTTGTGGAAGCGGACTGCAATATCCAGGCTGACAGCTCCTGTGACGAGGAGGATCGTCCGGACGAGGCGCTGGCTACATGAGCATACTCCGCTGCTAAAGTGGCGGCAGCATTTGACAACATTCGCCGTTGTATCGGCCGCATGGAGGGAACTGGGCTGTCGCATCTGGACAGCCTTGATAAGATCGAGACTAGCGTCCTCAACATTTCGAAAACGAAAAAGCAGGCGAATATTCGTGATTTTTTTCATGTAAATAAATCATTCTGTTGCAGTGTGTGTGTGGAATCAGTTATCATCCTTGAATGCGCCTATTGTAAGTGAGGATCCGCTACAGGTAAGCTCTCGGGGCCTCTATTTTTTTATATCGAATTTTTAATATACTGAACTAATTCGCAATACCCTTCCAGTTCGATATATCCGTATTCGACTGTATGTTCAAACCTTCGTGCTATGAATAAATCAGTTAGAAGTGAGCGCTGTGCGTGTTTGATGCCTGAATGTGTATGTGCGACAATGTGTCGTGTGTTTGCGCTCAAGTTAGTTTTTTTAATTGTTCTACCAACTAGCCTAACAACGAATTTTTTAAAGGTATTTTCAAGAAATAAATGCATTAGGTCTCATTTACTTTTATAATATTATGGTGTCTTTAGAACTTGCTAGGGGCTCAACAATACTTAATAAAGAGACGGCAACAATCACGTGCTAGCCAACAGCGACTCAGAGAAGTTTAGTGAAGGGTATGCATAAAGGTAAATTGCCACTATCCCTCAAGAGAAAGGTATATAACAGCTGTATCTTGCCGGTACTTAGCTACGGAGCAGAAACCTGGAGACTCACAAAGAGGGTTCAGCTTTAACTGAGGACGACGCAGCGAGCAATGGAAAGAAAAATGGTAGGTGTAACCTTAAGCGACAAGAAGAGAGCAGAGTGGATTAGGGAACAAACGGGGGGTTAAGGACATCATAGCTGAAATCAAGAAGAAGAAATGGACATGGGCCGGGCATGTAGCACGTAGACAGAATAACCGCTGGTCGTTAAGGGTAACTAACTGGATTCCCAGAGAAGGAAAGCGGGTTAGGGGGAGACAGAAGGTTAGGTGGGCTGATGAGATTAAGAAGTTTGCGGGTATAAATTGGCAGCAGCAAGCACAGGACAGGGTTAACTGGCGGAACATGGGAGAGGCCTTTGTCCTGCAGTGGACGTAGTCAGGCTGATGATGATGATGATGCATAAACTATCATAACTACGAACATCCCACAACAAGAGTAAAATGCTCACTCTTGTCGTTCGTGTTTCATACTTTGCATTCATATTTTTAGTTGTATAATCTTATCCTTTAGTAAACAGCAATTAAACCACGAATAAATTTTTATCTGGGTCAGCTAGTACGACAGCATGAAATAGTGAAAGACAGGACAAAATATGTGCAGAACAAGTACCAAATTTAAACAAGTGTCACTACTCTTGAAATGTTAAATCTATACCTATGAAAAATAGGAAAAACGAATGATAAAAGGTACAGCACATTCACACAATTAAGCGCAAGAAGTAGTACAAGGGTGGCTAAAAAAAAACATTAAAATATTTTTCCAGCTGAGACACAAAGCTACGAAAGCTTTTCCTGACAAACACGACATCATTCACTTCTTTTCTCTGAGAATGTTCTAGTACTGCTATTTCCCTACTCACCGATTGTGCGGTATCCGAAGCATCTTCGTCAGGTCTTCCTCAATGTATGCCATGCGATCCAACCACTCGTCGATCGCTGCACTGTATTTTTCGGCCAGGCCTTGCGTCTCACCAGCACATATGGACATCAGCTCATCGAAGCTAAAGATCATTCGCGGAGGTCTGTACTTGAGCCAGTAGACTGGTTCCACGAAACCTTTACTCTGAGGAGAATAATACAAAATATTTTTCTACGTGAAATGCCACGCTCAACAAAAGCTAGCATTTTCACACAAAGCAAGCATTCGAAGATTTAACAGCAAATTAAATGTGCGTGGGAGGATGAATAAACACTGCAAGTTTCATTCAAACATCTTGCTAGCTTCAGTGTGTGCCGCAAAGAGATTACAGGGGCTAGTTGTTACATACTGACTATGAGCAACTGTTGATGTTGACTGTGTGCACTGAATGGCAGCATTACATAAATAAAATTCAGACTGAAACCCAGACTTTGCGAATTGCCTTAGCATGCGTCTGTCAGAGTTCGATTTGCAATACTTCCAATTTAACACACACATTCACTAGTTAATGCAATTTTCCAATTCTTGTTAAGCTGCATACCTTAACTTTTCAATAAACATACGAAGTCCATATATACTTCAATGACTGTGAATACAACAAATTGTCAAACATATAAAATAAAAGCAAATGTTTTCTATCTGTATTAGCACATAACAAATACAGAGCTATAATGAATATAAACCATATTTTTATGTTCCATGCAATTTGGTTGCATCTAACTTAAAACTGCATGGACTTATTTTTTCAACTCACGTGATATTTACTTTTCCACTTTATAATTACACAAAGCCATTCACAAAACCATGCATAACTTCATTTAAAGATCACATGGTTTTATTGCACATAATTAAATTCATTATCTTTTGGATTTTTGCAACACCAAAGCCACAATCTGATTACAGGGTAAGCTGTAGTGGCTCGTGCAGGTCAGCTACTAACCTCCCTGTCCTTTCTGCTCCTATCCTCCTCCTCCTCGAGGTCAGCTACACTTAGTGTGCTCGTAAATATGAGTAAATAGGTAAGAAATTTTACACTGCGTTTGCACAATTCCTAGAAGTTATGACAGTGGGCTCAATGACAATGCAACAACCACTAAGGCTACGAAACTGATGTACGTTGCGGGCTCATATAGGTTGGTATGCCATTTGAAATTTCAAGATTTCACGATAAGCTAAAATACAATACAAGACAATAGTTGATCAAAATTTTTTTAAATGTTCACATCACACAGCACCGTATCTTCAAAAACAAAAAAAAACACACACAATCTAACACACACATGTCCTCTTCACTGAGACATACCAAAGCTGGAACTTGGATTGGCTGGCCATGCTTATCCACAACTTGCATAAGCCTGTCATGCAGAGGTTGTAAATTAGATCCCTGAAATACAAAATGAAACAAATTTTGTAAAACAAGAATAAAGCTGCCATGAGAGCTGCCACAACGCATGTGGCTGCTTTTTTCTTTTTTTTCAGGTGGCGGCAAGGCTTAATTGTTTGAAAGAAAGTCTTTTCATGGCAAATAGAAAGAAAGTTGCCCGGGCATACAGAGGTGCTTAATTATAAGAAGAAAATGAGTACAAAGCGCAATGCAGCACAAGAGGCGAGTTAATCAGTGATGGAAAGCAAATTTTGACACTGCAGTAAAGCTAGTGTGTGCGCACCAGAAAGAATACTTTCCTAGCAAATAATCTCCACCAGGAAAGTCCCATACATTAATTAGTAACGGTAAAATGAGTGACAAAAAGAAAAGTGGGGAGGGGCGAGGGGAAATGCTAGAGAACTAGTCGTCCACTTACGCATGTGCAGCAAAAAAAAATTGTACGCTTTCTCTGTCGAACTTGTCACACTCTGTCTTAACAAATCTGCGAGAAGAATGGGAGCCAATTTATGGCAAGAAATTTTAAACAAAGAAGACACACATTCGGGAAAATAATTTTATTGGACAACAAAGAAATAAAACATGGATGCTTCCTTCGACAAAAAAGAGGCAGAACGTTAGCATTCAATTCAGCGAGCAATTTTAAGAATGGCATTGCCAATAGTACTGATAGATTGATATGTGGGGTTCAATTGTCACAAAACCACGATATGATTATGAGAGACGCCGTAGTGGAGGGCTCCGATAATTTTGACCACCTGGGGTTCTTTAACGTGCACCCAAATCTGAGCATACAGGCCTACACCACTTTTCGCCTTGATCGGAAATGCAGCCGCCGCAGCTGGGATTCAATAGTATTACCATATAGTAAAGGCCAATGCAAAAGAAAACAAATGAACATGTAGCCTGGAGAGCAGTTCACGCTTCAGTTTTTAAGCATTGCAGTTTCTTCATGAACACAGCGATAACTTCTCTGCCATTGACTTGCATCCGGTGAATGAACATTAGAGCCCGACCATCAAGCCACTCCTCAGCTGTACAGTTTTTCAAATACATTTTCACTCTTTTCAGTGTCGAGAAGCTGTGCTCTTAGCAGCTGTACTCACAGAGAGCGTTACCAATATGTTGAGGAGTGTGTGAATCTTCAGGAAGGGGGCTTTGCCGCATTCAGCTAAATCATCTGTCACAAAGCGGTGAAATTCGTCCTCTTGCATGGCTCGCCAATTAGTTTTCTAGATTTTCCATTCCCCTTTTAATGTAAGGATATGAGCTGATGTCATATCTCAGGTAAAATCGAAGGCTGGCAGCACAGATTCAAATTTGCCTTCGGAGGCGTGCTTTGGCACACAAATTGCAAACTTTACAGCGTTTTGTAATGGTTTGAAAGCACAGTTTGAGGGAAACTTTCAGGTCATCTATGTATGGAGTGAACAAGGCTTGCCTGTAGTACTTTTCCACAAAACTACAATCGTGGTTTGCTCGGTATCTTTGTGTTCCTACCACCCATGAAATCTGGCACTTCACTATGTACTTTGCCACTTTTGTCTTGACACAGAGAAAATATTTTGTGAAATTATGCCTCCGCGTTAGTTCTCATCTCTTCCAGCTTAGTCAGCACCAAGTCAACCTGCTCCAAGGCAACACTCATGAAATATATATGGGCTCTGCAGATACACAGACAAGTGGTGTGTGAGGCCTAGCAACGCCTCACTAACAGCGAGGCACATAAGCAAGTTGGGCGAACAGATTCGCTGATGGAGGCGATGAGCGGTAGACGCTGTTGCTTTGTCACGAAATGTGTCCATGAACTCTTCAAGTGAGCGAATGATCTCGGAAAGCGCTTCTCCAGACAATGCAACTGAATCCTGACGTTCTACCCACCTTGTTTCACAATATCAGTGCAGCCAGCTGAATGACATTGTAGACACTTCTAGATGTTTTTTCAAAGACTGCTGTCCTTTTGGGTGACACCCGAAACAAAGTGCACAGCTAACTGCGCCAAAGGCCCGTCAATTGTCTTGGACAGCTGAGGCGTCACTCAAACAAAGGTTTAGGAAATGCAACGAGCAATGCGTGTACAAAGTTATTGGGAAGCCGTTACGGATTAGCGCCAGCACTCATGATGGTCAACGACACTTGACTCTCCTTTAACCTTATTGGACTCTCATCGTGTTCACCGGCTCGTCAAGCCATCTGATTGGCTGGAGCTGTGGACACCAAATGCCACGAGGTTGTATGAAAGCTGGCTATATAAGCTGAAGAATATTGTTAATTACTCTCTTCTTTTTCTCTCCTTCGTCCTCTTCTTGTTTTTCTCTATCCTCATGAGATGTAAAGAAACCTCCGTCTGTCCTGCAAAGGTACATTTCCTCACTACAAAAGATGGGTCCCGTAACGAGGGCCAGCAACTAGTTGAGACTGGCCGGACCCAACAAACTGGAGGCGACGGTGGTATCCCTTCAACCCCTCAGCCCCAACACCACTCAAGATTGGAAGAAATTAAGAAGTAGAAGTTGCACCGTCCGATTCCACAGATGAATCTGTGAGAAAGATGTGGCCCTTTCCTCACAGCCTTCGCTGTGCTATGCATACACGAATCATGCAGGACCTTGCCTGACTTTCCAGGCCCAAGCGTGCAGCGACAGAGGGCCTGTCAGTGAGCCGTCAGTTAGTGAAGTCTGTTCCTCAAGGGATAGCGTGGTTCGCTCAACCAGAAGAGACTTGTTTGATAATGTCGTGCGGTCAGTGGGACTGTTGAAAAGTATCAATAGATGATGCTGTGGGAGCAGTGGCAAGTTTTTAAGAGAGTTGCCAAGGAGACATGTGATCACCTCCTACAACGAAGGCGAACAAACTGTCAGTGCTGCTGTCTAGGTGGAGTGAATCGTCAAGCCGGCGAATATGATGGGAGCTTGGCGCAGACCAGCATAACAAGGCCCAGATATGAGGTGGAGCTCGTGGTGAACATCCGATTTATTTTGATTACAAATGCGATGTCTGAACCACATCTTGTTCTTTCTGAATTCAATGATTGCCGTATTGCTGTTTCTAAGAATAATAAATACAGAACGTTTGAGCCAAGTGCCCTTGCATGGCAATCGAACCGAACCAACACATGCTTAGGCTACCAAAATTATGAGTGTCAACATGATCGAGTGCATCCAACGAGCGCCGATACGGCTGAACAAAAGCTTCAGCACAAGAAGCGTCGCATTAACTCACACAATGCTGGAGCAGCTTGTTTGTTTCAACGCACAATGGCAATCCATTGCTTCCGTCGCTCTTTTTCATAAGGCCTTTCGATAAATCAGTAAAAACGTGCTGCAGGCCAGTTTTTGTAGGTGTTGAGCTGCTTACCTGAGGGCGATTATCAGACATCCCAAGAATAAGATCTGCTTGCTTATAAATGTTTAGCCTGTGCAAGAGTTTGTTTGACCCATCTCAATATGCTTGAATTCCTCCACGGTGATGTGCAGAGTTGTAGTATAACATTTCTCCCTTTTAGTGAACACAACACTGCAGGTGACATTAAGTACCACATAACTGCTGTTGTCATAGTTATGCTGCCCCATATAATTAAAAACAGTTGCTAATACTTTAAATGGTCTTTAGTTAAGTCAAACACTGTTCATGCAAGCTTGAAATTTATTGTTACTACATGATCGAAAATATTTTCCATTTTTGAAGCCTGCTCCTTCTTATCATTATTAGATATTTATGCACAAGCAGTAAACTGCATTATGTGCACTTTAAACAACAATATTTTGACGACTCCCTCTGAAGCCAAAATCATGGAATCTTGAAAAATTCCATTTAGGGCAGGGTAGCGCTTCGTAGTTCACTTTACACTTAAAGGCATTGTAAAAACTGTTAACCTGTTCAAACACGTCCCACATGGCATCACAAGCAAGAGAGCTGCATGTTTTCGCAGCAAGGCTGTAAACGTGGCACTTAAGTTTAAAAATTATATATATATATATATATATATATATATATATATATATAGAGAGAGAGAGAGAGAGAGAGAGAGACATTTTTTAAATCCCTGTAACTTTGTAATCCACTCCCACATGAGGGGGCTTAAAACACGCGACGCGACGTCGCGAAATCTGCACCTGAAGGCACGACCCCAAAATTTATAAGTGAAGGTGTGGTGCTCACACGCTAAAGCTCAACATGAATGGATGGATGGATGTGGCTGTACCCTTTAGATCGGGCGGCGGCTAACGCCACATAGCCGTAATACTTCGTGAACTAACCACCAGCTTTATCTTTTTTTTTCTTTAAATAGTGAAGTTGAGGACTGGTGCTTTGCAGTGAAGGGTTTAACTTTCACTCGAACCTTGACTTTAGCCACCAATCAGATAACCTTCTTCTAGTTAATTCTACCCACTTGAAGTATATTCTGCGCTTTCTGGCCCTAAACCCCAGTGCTTTGAAAAACTCTGCGCCATCATCCTGAACTATAAGGTGAAACCCTTTACAGAACATTATCAAGTGTTTGGCAGTTTCTTCCTCCTCTCCACATGCACTGCATACCGTGTCTACCCTTTTTATTTGGCACGATATGTCTTGGTTCGCAATACTCCCGTCCTGGCCTCAAACGGTAGAGAACTACCCCGAGTATTATCATAGATCCTTTCCTTGGAAATTTCCTGCTGAAATGTTCGATAGATCTCTAGTGCAGACTTCTTAATCATGCTAATTCTCCACATGTCCAAAGACAGCAAACTGCCTACCTGATACTAACATGTCCAGCACTGGAATAACATAAAAAAAGCAACTCATTGACTGACAAGACGCGTCTGTACATGCTCACTCGATAAAATTACGTTGAAAAGTTTTCGGTATTACATGAACATGCTTTAAAGCGTGATGAGCTGAATTCCATACTAAACATACTGTTGTTCTGTTATTGGCATGAAATCAAGTAAAATCGGCGTGCAATTTGCAAATCCGAAACAACGCCACATGACTAGCGTAACAAAACGGATACCAAATAAGCCAATTAGTCGCAGCTGACTAGTGCCGACAAAATCACTGTACTATGAGCCAAAAGTAAGCCGAAACACTACATGTGACAGCCGGTAACTGGAGATTCCTCACGTTGACAAACAACGAACAAGAAATTGAGCACATCGAAGTACAGCATATTGTCACATGGGAATGAACGGGTGACGATTGGTCACGTAAATCGGTACATCACGATAACGAGCATTGAAACTTGCTTCATGCGTACCAGCGCATCTTTTTTGCTGTCGGCTGCCATGTTTGCAATTTTCTTCTTGATGATGATAGGGATGGAGCTTCCGCTAAAATGATAAGAACGTGGGAAAAAAAAACCCTTTTAGCTACTACATTTAAGTTGTACTTTTACCACCATTGGCAACACATTGAAACAACTATTACATAAATTAACAAAGTTAAGGTATTATTACACGAACCAGCATCCTTTGCATTTACATATTGTCATACGAAAAGCTAAGAAGCCAGCAGGTTATGTTACTTTAGTTTCTTTTTATTTTTGTTTTTTATTCAAACGAAAATTTATAATGGTATGATGTAAATTGGGTGAAAAACATTTATTGCACTCTTTTATTATTCATGTAGGTTGCTTTGTTGGTTATCAAAATTCAGTATTTGGAAATGTTAACAAAGTCATGGTCATGTCAAAGGTCATCGAACTCTTAGGTCATATCATCAACTCTTGGCACAACTCATCACAGAGACAACGCACTCTATTGTTATCAGGGCGGTTTCTCTTCCTGTAAGCACAAGCAAACCCGAGGTGTACCTCAGGGATCAGTACTTTCCCCGGTATTATTCAACATATTGCTTAGTACCATCCCCGTTCATCCAGATGTGAAAGCCTATGTTTATGCCAATGACATTGCTTTCTTTGCTATGGCACATGACTTCCACTGTCTCTACACCATCTTGCAAGCATATCTTAATGAAATAGAACATTGGCTGGATGGATTGATGTTGAACCTGAATATCGGTAATTGTGCTATTCTCGTTTTTCCTATCAAAGATCCCGTGCACATATCTATCAATTACACGCTTCAAGATATCCCACAAGTACAATCATTGAAATATCTTGGAGTTATGTATAATGAACATCTAAATTGGCGCCCTCACATTAAATACATCGCGACAAAAGCAGTATGCGCGATGGGCGTATTGCGGAGGTTGAGCAATTGTAGATGAGGTATGAGAAGGAAGGCACTTTTGATTATATAAAAAATGTATTTCCGACCTGTGTTAGAGTTTGGCTGCCTTCTTTTTTCTGGTGTGCCAGCCTACAAACTTCGGCCGCTCGTTCTATTAGAAAGAGAGAGAAACAACATTTTTCGTGCATCCGGCGTGTGGGAAGTCACCGGCCGCGCAGGGCGCGGGTATTCCCTATCTAAAGACTATAGCTAATTGTCCTATAGTCCCAGGCCCTAGATCTTGAGGACGTTGTGCTCTGGCTAGGCATTGGATACTCCGGCTCCTCCGCTCCCGTTGTCCGGGGCGTCGGTTCCATTTCTCGTCTGCTTTGCCAGGGCCTCCTCAAGCCGATGGATGGCCCTTCGTTGTGTGTTTGAGTCTTGGGAGCGTATCCATGCTCCCACCTCTTCGGGATACGTGAGGCTTTACGGCTCTGCTTAGGACTTCCAAAGTATACTGCAAATGCAGTGTTATACTTTGAAGCACGAATACCAACCTTATTATGTCGCTTTAACATTCTCACTGTGCAGACCTTTTTACGACTATATGAAGCACCGTTTAACCCTGAACAAATTATTTTTATTTTCAATCCTGACCTATTCTTCTCCGTGCATTGGCCCAGATTTCACAAACCACAAATAGTATTTGTTCAATCGTTACTTGAGCCTCTAAATGTACAAGTTCGTGATCTGATTCCTTTAACTGAGCAACAAAATTCTCCAGCAATTGTTTACCATGATATCTTCCCAACTCACGCTAAGCTATTACCTACAGGCATTTTAAATGGTTTATTGCAGGACCATTTAAGTATTCTGCCAACAAATGTCATTATAGCAACGGAAGCATCTCAATAACATGAAAAATCAGGCGTTGGAATATATTGCCCCGTATTTGATTGGTCATTTTCACTTCGCTTACCGGACTTTCTTTCTGTCTTTCTGGCTGAATTCATGGCAATACTGTTAGCTAAGGCACGTTGCCGGGCTAGTTGGTTGGGATTCATCATTTTCACTGGTATAGCGCACCACGACAAGGACACACACAAAGGAGAGATTCACACACACACAGCGCTAACTTGCAACTAATGTTTTATTTGCGATCACACACGCTGTTTATACAACAGGAGACGGATAAAACATGGATAATGTCACGTCAAGAATACAGCACAGCCCATGCACGTGTCATCACCGATAGCGACAATCTACACTAGCCCGTCAAAGCGAAAATTCCAGATACTTCTTTTCTTTGGATGATAATGCTATGGAAGCCACACTCACACATTTTTCTTTCATTTTGTCTATTTCAAAAGCTTCAATAATTTCACGTGTGGTTCTGTCACGGGCCTTAAAGAGTATACGGGTCTTTTGGAACATAGGGACGCAACCGCACCTCTGACAGTGAAGGGCCAAATGACCACATACAGCTCTTTCTACATTGTACTTGTGCTCCTTTGCAGAGAGTAGCGGGAAACAGGTTTGTAAGATTAAGCACCGGGAGAAATTTGTGAATTGTTGTTGTGGTATTGTCTATAGCACTCCTTTGACTTGCGGTTGCGAATACATAGGCCAATCTGGAAGGTGTGTGAATGAAAGACTAAAGGAGCACAAGTACAATGTAGAAAGAGCTGTATGTGGTCATTTGGCCCTTCACTGTCAGAGGTGCGGTTGCGTCCCTATGTTCCAAAAGACCCGTATACTCTTTAAGGCCCGTGACAGAACCACACGTGAAATTATTGAAGCTTTTGAAATAGACAAAATGAAAGAAAAATGTGTGAGTGTGGCTTCCATAGCATTATCATCCAAAGAAAAGAAGTATCTGGAATTTTCGCTTTGACGGGCTAGTGTAGATTGTCGCTATCGGTGATGACACGTGCATGGGCTGTGCTGTATTCTTGACGTGACATTATCCATGTTTTATCCGTCTCCTGTTGTATAAACAGCGTGTGTGATCGCAAATAAAACATTAGTTGCAAGTTAGCGCTGTGTGTGTGTGAATCTCTCCTTTGTGTGTGTCCTTGTCGTGGTGCGCTATACCAGTGAAAATGATGAATACTGTTAGCTTTGCGAAAGGTAAATATTTCTATTCCAGTCAGAGCAGTCATAACTGATTCATTATCAGTGTGCTCTTCTCTGTCCGCATCTGGTCTCTGACCCATACTGAAACTTTTTAAATCATTGGTTTCCTGTCATCTCCGAAGTATTCATTTAATCTGGACACCAGGGCACAAATGTTTGTTGTTAAACGAAATAGCTGATTCTCTTGCGAAGGCATCGCTTTCGACACGTATTACTCCTATTTTTCCTCATACAGTACACATTACGGTGGCGCGATTTCGCACACTTAAAATCAGGCAAAAGTTATCAGACTCTGCACTGACGACTTCTCCAAAGTACAAACGCTTGTTATTTCCCTGGCGCAGTGAACTGTCTAATCAAAGATGATGAAAGTGGTCATCACGAAATTTTGTTGCCGCGTTACCTCCCCCAATTTTTACTTGCATAGATCAGGTATATTGAATTCCCCTATGTGCATTTACTGTAATCAAGAGGAAACGATCAGTCATTATTTATTACATTGTCGCCGTTTCGATTTATTCAGGCAAAGCATACTAGCACCACCTCTTCAAGGCAGCTGACTACTGCCGACAAAATCACTGTACTATGAGCCAAAAGTAAGCCGAAACACTACATGTGACAGCCGGTAACTGGAGATTCCTCACATTGACAAACAACGAACAAGAAATTGAGCACATCGAAGTACAGCATATTGTCACATGGGAATAAACGGGTGACGATTGGTCACGTAAATCGGTACATCACGATAACGAGCATTGAAACTTGATTCATACGGTACCAGTGCATCTTTTTTGCTGTCGGCTGCCATGTTTGCAATTTTCTTCTTGATGATGATAGGGATAGAGCTTCCGCTAAAATAATAAAAACGCAAAAAAATGCTTTTAGCTACCACATTTAAGCTGTACTTTTACCACCATTGGCAACAAATTGAAACAACCATTACATAAATTAACAAAGCTAAGGTATTATTACACGAACCAGCATCATGTTGCATTTACAACTGTCATACGAAAAGCTAAGAAGCCAGCAGGTTATGTTAATTTAGTTTCTTTTTTATTTTTGTTTTATATTCAAACGAAAATTTACAATAGTATGATGCCAATTGGGTGAAAAACATTTATTGCACTCTTTTATTATTCATGTAGGTTGCTTTGTTGGTTATCAAAATTCAGTCATCGGAAATGTTAACCAAGTCATGGTCATGTCAAAGGTCAACAAACTCTTCGGTCATATCATCAACTCTTGGCACAACTCATCATAGAGACAACGCACAAAGGAGGCGTTGATAGAGGCCACAACAACCTGGCCAGCAGGCGAAGTACGATAGGAGGGAAAGTTAAAATGACCCCGTGTGGTTGCGGACCGCGCTAGGTCTGTCGTGCCTGAAGAAGCCCTGTGCGCCGTAAAGAGGCTGCCTGCTTGAGTGTTTCAAAGCTTGACCGTGTTTTCTGATTACAGGCGCCTGCTTGAACCAAAGATCCCCATGTTCGACGAACTGGTCGTTACGGTTCCCAAGCTCGCGAGCCTTCCGCTGAACGTGCCTCTCTCCGTGTGGATGTCCAACTTTGTAAGTGCCACCAAATTATGGTTACGTCTTGTCGACGGCAAGAATCCGTACATAAGGCGCTTCGTGCGGGGCTGCGAGACACACCTGTACGGCGTCGAAATAGGCCAGTACTGCGTGGCCGACACCAGGCCCTCTGTAGCCGACCTGGCACGCGCCGTGGTCACCGACGTGTTTCGCGAAACGGGGGACTTACATCTGTCGGCTGAAGTTTTGCTCATCGATCATGGTCACACGCTTGTCCTGGGTATGGACAGGCTGTTCCCGCTCGCCGAAGTAGATGCCACTACACCGCGCGTTGCCATCCCGTGCAGTCTTCACCGCGTTGCGACCCGTACCCGACACCTGCCCAAGTTTCACCTACCGCCGGAATCTAAACTGGAGGCCGTATTCGTCGGGGTCTCGGATATGGGCACGTACCAGACGAGGCTGTTCATTCGGCGAAAGCAGGTGGACGGCACCCTCGCTAAATTTGACGTTGCCAGATAGTTCATTGGTGCGGAAGAAATGACCGGTATATCGTACCTTCGGCCGTGGTCCTTCCCGCGATAATTTAGTGGAACAGTGCATGTACCTGATGAAATGAAGTACTGGACTCTTAACTCTGCTGCGAGATACGCGAGTTGGTAGCTAAATTTGAAGTTGACAGACGGGAAACCGACTACATGCTTTAACTATATCTTGTGATATCCAGTCATTTTATAACTTCAGAACTTGAAAAAAAAAGTGTCAGCAGTTATAAATGTTTACACTGATTGTAACTTACAGTAGACACATGTGAAGGGAAAGTGTGAAATGTTTTAAGTGCTTATAAAATGCCAAAGGTTCTATTTCTGAAAGTTGTTAATCAATCAAGCTAGTGTTGTTTGAGTTTTGTTGGTTCAATGTATTTTGTATGTATGTGTATTTAAATATCAGTGTGAAAAAGTGAATGGTTATGCTGGGAAAATGCAATAGCCGTTCTGTGCAATAAGTATCTTATGTGAAGTGTCAGAGGTTATGTGGAGTGCAGTGCACTCTGAAATGGACCGTTATGTAGATTATGCGGGCTGAATGAACATACTATGTATTCTGATTCTGTAGCTGGAAAAGACAGCATTTCAATAGCATGTTATTATATGGTTGTGTACAATGCAATCTATTCTGAAATAAAACACCATGGTAATGTTCTTTGCCTGAGTAAGTGTATCATTCTGTGTAGCTAAGAAGTGACAGCACTTGTGTAGCATAATGTTACAATTGTGTCAAATGAAGCCTATTGTAAAACACAACACTACATAACTACTTCATCATTCACTACAGTCTAAGCTTGGCATATCTGTGCTTACACACTGTACATGTATAAATCACTCCCTTCATTATCATCATCAGCCCAACTACTCCCACTGTAGGGCAAAGGCCTCTCCCATGATCCGCCAATCAACCCAGTCTTGTGCTTTCCGTTGCCACTTTGTACCTGCGAACTTCTTATTCTCATCGGCCTACCTAACCTTCTGTCTCCCCTTCTTGCGTTTGGCTTCTCTGGGAATCCAGTCAGTTACCCTTAATGACCACCCGTTATCCTGCCTAAGTGCTACGTGCCCAGCCCATGTCCATTTCTTCTTCTTGATTTTAACTATGATCTCTTTCATCCCGGTTTGTTCCTTGACCCACTCTGCTCTGTTCTTGTCTCTTAAGGTTACACATATCATTTTCCTTTTCGTCCCTCGTTGCCTGTCCTCAATTTAAGCTGAAGCCTCTTTGTAAGCCTCCAGGTTTCTGCTCTGTAGGTAAGTACTGGCAAGATGCAGCTGTTATATGCCTTCCTCCTGAGGGTTAGTGGCAGATTACCATTAATGATTTGTGAATGCTTGCCGAGTGTGATCCACCCCATCCTTATTTTTCTAGTTATTTCACTCTCATGGTTCAGCTCCGCAGTTACAATTTGCCCTAAGTATACATATTCCTTTACAACTTCCACCATCTCTCCTACAATGGCAAAGTTCTGTTTTCTGTCAAGACTGTTGCACATTACTTTAGTTTTGTGCATAATTATTTTCAGACCTACTTTTCTGCTTTCTGTGTCCAGTCATCAGCAAATTGCAGGTTACTAAGATACTCTTCATTAACTCTCATCCCTAACTCTTCCCAATCTACGGTCCTGAAAACCTCCTGTAAACGGCTGTGAATAGCATTGGAGAGATCATGTCTTCCTGCCTTACACCCTTCTTCACTGGAATTCTGTCACTTTCATTATGGAGAACTATGGTGGCTGTGGATCCACTGTAGATTTCTTTCAATATGCTTATGTAGGGTTCTTCGATGCCCTGGTTACATAGTGCCTGCATTACTGCTGATGTCTCGACCGAGTCAAACGCCTTCTCGTAATCTATGAAGGCTATGTATAGAAGTTGGTTGTATTCCGTTCATTTCTCTATTACCTGATAGATAGTATGAATATGGTCTAAATGTGCAGTAGCCTGTACGAAATCCTGCTTGGTCCTATGTTTGATTGAACTCTAATGTCGCCTTAATTTTATTAGCTATCAATTTTGTAAGTAGTTCCTAGAAAACGCACAGTGAGCTGGTCGGCCTGTAATTTTCAAGTCCTTGACCTCTTCTCTCTTATAGATTAAAATGATATTAGCGTTCTTCCAAAATTCTGGTACCCTTTCCGTCAAAAGACATTCAGTGTATAAGGTTGGCAGTTTTTTTAACACAATTTATTCGCCATATTTCAGGACGTCCATTGTTATCTTATCCTCACCAGCGGCTTTGCCTCTTCGTATTCCTTCTAGAGCTTTCCTTTCTTTCCCTGTCATTACTGGCAGGATGTCAAATTCCTCTGGACTATTATTGTTTCTCACAATATCATCCTGGTTGTTTTGTCTTCTGTACAGCTCTCTGTAAAACTCCTCCACCACCTCGACCAGCCTATCTATATTGGTTATGACATTGCCTTCCTTGTTCCTTAACGCATACATCAGGAGCTTTGTTCAATGACATTACTGGCAATTCTGACCAAACTATTGAGTTGGCAACACTGAAATAGCACACCCATGTACCTTCCCTACCCATCTGTCGATTCCATAAAGACTCAAAAAGTGTGACCAACCTGTTTCGGGACTATACCAATTAGCCCATTCACACTTATTTGAAAAATTTCAAGACTATGCAAAAGTATTTACGGACGCTTCTGTATTCAGCGATGGCCTGAGCGCTTCTGCAGCTTTCTTCTGCCCGTCAAACGATATCAAGCGGTTGTTTTAAATACCCCACTCCTCATTGTCGGTGACAAGCAAGCTAGCAGTCATTGAGGTCGCCCTTAAGTATGTGCAAGAAGGGTTACCAGTATCGAAGGTTGTCATCCTTGCAGATTCTCGTGGTGCCCTTATCAGACTCACACGCAAGAAGACCGACAGCCCTATTCTATGCAGCATCATGGAATCTGCCAACCGTATTCTCTCACGTGAAGTATGCCTAGCTGCTCGGTGGGTAGCTTCGCACATGGGCATTGCGGGCAATGAAGAAGTGAATCGCCTTGCTTTGTCGTAGAAATGTGATGATTGTGACTGTCCAAGAATTTCATGTATGATGGACAATGCTCATCTGCTTATACGCTGACACCTCCTAAAGCAGCACCCAGACCAGCATGTGGCAGAGGCATCGTTCCCTCCCCATGTTCGTGGCTGTGGCTTGCCTCGTCGTTCCAGAGCGCTGTTATACAAACTAAGAGTGGGCTCTGTGCTGGGGCGTTAACGATTAAACCATCAAGGGCATATTGGCAGTCCTTTGTGCGCCACTCATGACTCCTACGAAACACTTGAGCATATCATACTGCACTGTCCTTCGCTACGCAGCAGGCTTTGCTGATTAAGGAATATAAATTCCTGGGGCTTAAGTGCACCACCCTAGACGTGTAGCTCTTTCCGAGAGGTTAAGCTTCCCGACGTGACCAGGCCCATCGAGCTCTACTTACTTTTATGGACCAAACGGACCTGGCCACCCCTTTATAGTCGAATTTTTTTCTTTATTTTTTTTACTTATACAAGTCTAAGTCTTCGTCATTTTTCCTTAACTTCTCTCTCTTCTTTTTTTTCTCCCCTCCTATCTACCTTTCCTCCGTCTCTTCCCTCCTCCCAAAAGAGTGAGCAGGTGTTATGCCCCTCCAGGTGGCAGTTGCCAGCTTGCTCTCTCCCTCTTTCCTTTGTGTTCTTGTGTATCCATGTATGCAAATCAAACATCATCTTTTGCGTATGCACAAGTTCGTCTTCACAGCTTTTAGGTTTCTTCCGCCTTTTACAGCCTGCGGAATTCTCCCCATGTTATACCTTCTAATGTTGGCTACCTTATGCCTATTGATTTACTTCAAAAGCTCCACTAGCTTTATTTTGTCGGTTGCATTTGAGGCTTTCATGGTTTGTCGTCTCTTAATAAGATTTTTGTCTCCTGAGATATATTGCAAGTGTCCTCTCTAGTGACTGTACCTCTGAATTCCACTGCATTTTTTGGTGATAGTAGTAAGATTATCATTCATTGTGTCAATGCTATCGTCAATTACCTCATCTAGTGCCTCGAGTATATTCTGAAGCGAAACTCTAAACTCCTGTACTTTTCCTCTCACCGGTAGTTCATAATAGGTAGTACTTTTCCTCTCACCGGTAGTTCATAATAGGTTTTTTGAGTGTCAATTTTTGTCTTGGCTTTTTTTTAAATCTAAGTGAACACGAGCTCTTGCCGTTCTATTGTCACTGTATTGGATTTTGCCAACTACTTCTAAATCCTGTAGAATGCCTGGGTGTGCACACAGAATGAAGTCTATTTCATTTTTAATTTCATCATTTGGACTTTGCCACGTTAACTTACAGTTAGCCCATTTTCTGAAAAAAATATTCGAGATCCGTAATTTATTACGTTCTGATAACTCTTCTAATAACTCCCCTGTGGTATTTCTAGAGCTGATGCCTTATTCCCTCACTGCATGGCGTCCGGCCTAATTCTTGCATGCTTTGGCATTAAAGTCGCCCATCAGAATAGCTTCAAGCACCCGAAGACAGACCTTCATATGCCCAGCGCTCATCGTTTGCCACGCCAAGTTTGCTGGCTTTTTCCTTTAGCAGATGGCAGTGTTCACGTTATCCTTGCCAAGTTTGTTTTCCTTAGACTTCTCACACACTTGATATCAATTAAATGAACCTTTAATTTCCCGAAACAATGTTTCAGAGCTCAAAAACTCAAGGTCACCCTAGGTTGGAGAGTCTTTCATTCCAGGAATTCTCAGCCGACGATCGCCTCCCGGGTCCTAGTGAAGAGTACTCATGATTGCCTAACCCCGTGTGGAGATCTTGGCTTCGAAATCGACACTAACCAGCAAAGTATAGCTAATGCAAGAAAAAAAAAAACGATAAAGCACATGTACGAGATTTTCTTTCACTTTACTGAACTTTACACATGATTGTCTTATGCTTCGTAACCAAATTCCACCAATAGCATCATGCTAGCACTTTCTCTTACTTTACTGAGCCGTGCTGATATTATGTTAGTGCAAATATAGGGCTCAAGCAATTGCTTCTGCAGTGAAAAAAAGACGACAAGGAATCATGCGAGTAAGCAATTAAGCTCAACGCTCCATTGTTAACATTTATTGAGGGTCCCTGATGTCCAGTGACAGTAAATCACGTCACACTTCCATATTATTCTGTGCACTCAAAGGTGATGAAGAGGGGAAAGTTATGCTTTTCTTGGCCCTACAAAAGTATTGCTCACACCAAATACTGTCTAGATTTACTAGCCAAGTAGGCCATCACTTGGCGGCTGGCTTCCCTTTGTCGGTCGCCAACACTGTAACCAAGTTGCGCCTTCAAAATGTGAAAATTGGAGCACGCAGAGTCGAAGCAGAGGTCCAACGACCTAAGACCTTAGATCATACCGTATTTACACAAGACTAAAGGGACCCTGAAAAGGTTTTTTCAAACTTTGTCAGCATTCACGTTAGAGCATCATCAAACCATTCGCACCACAAATATAGTGACACACTGTGTACCAAGCCTACAAAAGACAATTATATCACACCCTCCTTCTCATCCTTGCTTCACTTCCTCAACTCATGAGGCACACTGGCGATTGCAGAGCTCTCATGAATGCACTTGATGATTTGAGCTTTTACCAGTCTAGATACTGACAGGTTGCGCAC